ACTTCTTGCAAAAAAGAAGCAAACTTTTACAACACAGCAGCACTGGAGCTTGCTCATCATCGCTAATTGTGGTGCCGCATATCTGAATCGTATTTGAGAGATGGTCAGAGCCTTTGATATCGAGTGTTCTGATGTGAAGCATGTACTTGAGCGACGCGCTGTTGCTTTGTCTGAAGCGTGGACGTAGTGATTGCCATCTCAACTTTCAGTAAGCTCAACCGCTTACCATCAGCGGCTTCACGGTGGGTATCTCCATACTTACCAACGCGTAGCTGACACGTTCCGAGAGGTCCAACTCACATAACGGTGAGCACCTCTATGCGATGCAATTCCTGCTTTCTGTCCTTGAACTGTCATGTGCCTTATCATTAAAGACCACCGAGAAACGTGGGCTTGTAAAGCAAGTTGAGTTGTCCCAGGGACACATCATCGCACAACTTGCACAGGGTGTATGGTCGATCTAATCAATTATATTTACTACCTTTGCTGCCAAGTGCACTGTGCACCAATCACAGAGAAAGTTCAGACTCGACGGGTCTGTATTGGTTCGTACACTCTACATATACATAAAATAAGAGCTGTCATAAACCTTCTGCTTTTCATTAATTTTATCAGTGATATCTTTATAAAATAAACTTAATCTTGATTATTAGAAACGAATACCCCTTAAGTGGAATAAGATTCATCTTTCAATTTGCAGTGAGGCCAGCATGAAGCTTACATTAATGCGCTTTAAAGCGCCGGGTTAAAATTTCTGGAGATCTAATGGGATTCTTCTGAAATCAAAATACCAAACTAAAAGCTTAATCAGTTCTAGTTTAGCCTCACCGTCCTTTCATATAGACAAATCATATACTATCAGAACCCTCCCAAAGAGTACTAAAAACATCTAGTTTAGTATATAGAACACTTATTTTGTACAGAGGTATACTTTACTACGTCAAAATCCCTAAGACTATAGCGATATCCTTGCATCCACAACTTTAGTTCTTAAATCAGTATCTTTATCAAACTGCAAGACAATGGTACCATGTGGTCGCACACCAATTAGATAGAGAGTCTAACATTATTAATTAAAGTAATAAAATTAAATTTTTAACTATCAATTTTCTTAATGTGCAAAAGCTAAATATAAAATATAGAAAAAAATAGCTGAAAAAAATGATATATAAGAACCAAAACTACTTATTGCATTCTATCATGTAATGTACGCATCCTACAAATATCCGAATTTTTCGTACCGCATTTTATATTTGTTCGGACCGTGTCGGTGTAGATATGATGGTCTGATCTCTATTCCTGGTGCAACAAAACTACTAATTCTAATAATGTCTTCTATCATGATTTGATGAATTAAGGTATCTACACTCTGCTGACGTTTAAAGTGGTTAAAAGTGCTACGAATTGTAAGAACTTGCATACATCAAATGAATGAAAGACGAAAATGCTTGACGTTCTATCAGCGAGAAAAATGCACCTTGAAAGTATGTCGTTGCTATGGCACTGATGTATTTAACACGGAATCAAAATGAATTTAGCGAAAGCATTGCGCTGTAACTTCGTAATATGACAAATTTATAGGGCACTAAAACTAGTCGAGCATATGTACACAAGTCTTGCGACAGAGAGACAAGAATACGACAATTCATTTAGACATCATGTAAAAGAAAGCAACACTATATTAACTAAAGAGTTCATTAATGACATCTTACTCCTACTGCAGCGGCGTTCATGCTGCTACCTCAGCGACTTCCAATGGCTTTTCCGTAATACTTTTCGGGACAGGCATGTTATTCGTAAATTCAAGGTATTCGAGAAATCGTTGCAGCTTGGAATTAGCGTTCCACTCCTCCAGAGTGTAAGTCTTTGATTCATCCAATATATCTAAATCTAGCAGCGCTTTCTTGTACAGGATTGGATGCACATCGAAAGACATCAATTCATCGACGTTTGCGTCCTTTTCAATGAGCGCTTTTGTAGTCCTAAGCTGGTTATTCAAATTATTGAAAAACCCGCCGCGAGACACAGTTGCATCCCAAATTCCATTCAACGAAACAGGTGTATCGGTAGTTCCTGGAATCCCCAACAGGTCGCGGAACCGAAAAGCAAGCTCATCGACAACTGTCGACGACGGCAGACCGTCCTCGCCCTGTCGCGTTTTAAACTCAATCATGGTATTGATAAAGTTGGGGGTAAAACCTTGGACGATCGCTTCATCAAATCCATCCGTTTTACGATCTAAAAGTTTCTTCGCCGTCTCAAAATTTATGTGGGCTACCCACCTATGAAGTAAGGACCTAAAGGCCTGATATGCTGATTGAGGCCACCGTTTTAATTGATATAAGAATCCCGGATTGTCATCTAGCGCATCAGTTGTCTTCATCTTTCCCGTCTCTAATATTTTTGCAATGGCTTCAGTCTCGAGTACACGTTCTTCTTCTATATTGCGCATGTCGTCATTGGTTACGACCATTTGACTTTCGTTGTTGTGCTTCACAACAAGTACCATGTCAGAATCGATTTCTTCGTGCTGGGGGGTCGATTGAGCGTCAAGGATAGCAAACGCATGAAAGATGAGAGAGAGGACGAGCACAATAGTGCGCATTGTGGTTGTTTGACAGCCACTTGACATCTCCTTCAGTGAATTATATTGCTCTCAACGCCACTCCAAACGAATGTAGCCATATCAGTCTGCCTATTGGGTGCAGGTCAGTGTAGCATCTTTCTGTCACCAGACCAGATTGGTCACTTCATCTTCAAGAATCGTATCTCGTAAGTCAGAAAAACCACAAAACTATTGCTCGAAAACGAACATTAGAATCTTTTAAATTTTTGATCCGACATTACACATGGTTTGGCTTTGGCAGGACCATATGTGGAGAAACTCAATCATGATGGACTGGCGGTTGTTGATAAGAAAGGATGTCGAAATCGCGTATCTTAGGGACCTGTCTGGATCTATGCGTTAGACATAGAGAAAGTACAAGAAGCTTAAAGTCGTAGCGACTTAGTCTTCATTGTTTACCTTTATAAAAGGTCAATTTCTTCCGCAGGGATGTATCGTACGAGCATATCATTCAATATATCAAATTCATTTCCTTGAACAGATCATCCGATTAGATTGATCCGAAACCGAACCTTGGCTTCCTCTTCAAAAAAAAAGCCATTTCTCTTTTTTTGTCGGAGAGAGAGCATGTCAGAGACATGCAATATGAGTCCATGCTTGGTGAAACTATCTAACATGCAAGTAATTTTTCATCTTCAACATCACACATCGATATATCACACAATCTGAAACAGATTTAAGATCCGAGACTTGCAGACAGCAAATACTCAGGTTGCTATATTTCTCTAATATCGCACATGAAGAAGGCAAGACTGGCTCCTTATCTTTCTATAATTTGAGAAAACCTCTATGTGTTTGTACGTTTGCTCTCTCTGCAGCCGACTCCAAAGCGCACTTTATTGATCTTGTCGTATATAGTGCTGCTAATGGGCATGATTCCTCTGTGGTGTACTATATATGAGGCTAAACGCTTACTTTACGAATTGATGATTTTCTTAAAACAAAGCACAGCATATGTGGAATTCATTTAACATATAACGCTGTGATTGCAGTAAATGGAGAGTGCACATAATTGACCTCCATGCCATTGTAGACGCGGATCCATCGCGTCAAAACGTGCACTATGGAAAGTGCACTGCAACCTCGTTGCACTTTGTAGTCAATCCCTAGACCAAGTTGTAAACGGACTGCATTTTCTTTAAACATTTAAGTTTCGGGACAACTAGACAAGCTCAAGAATATTATTGGTAATTGATATTGTTAGTCTGGACGGGATGAGAACTTTGTCAGTCTTAAAGCCGAAAGAGGAAATTGTTTGCCTGGATGCTCACCGGTTATATATGCGCTGGTGGGACATGTCACAACCAGGCGCTGGTTAAAGCATAGATCATTCTCATCGTGCTGCCGCTCGTGATGTACATTTAGGCTTTGAGGACCAGGATGTAGAAAATGTAGCCTTTTGGACGAGAAAAATGAAATAGCAATGCATTCAGCTATGGTCTAAAAGGAGCGATAACGCGTTGTGCTTGCCGTCTTTAAGTTTAGAAGGCAACGTGCTAGAATGGACACTTGCGTACAGCTTATAAAACATTTCTTACATGATTGAAGTTGATGTGGCATATGCCGCGAGTGATCGCGCTGCCTAATCAGGTACAAAGGTACGCTCTAACGCGAATCATGATTATCACTGAACTCTCAAAACCGCGGCGAGTAAACAACATTTTCATACTGTGAGAAATGGTGTATGGCCGACAGTGTCTCATTCTAGATTAGACCTATTGGATCATCCATAGTTTCAATCTAGCGCTGTAGAGCGCATCAATGAAAGCCTGGCTCTATGGATCGTAATTGAAGAGGGATTCATACAAGCGCTTCTCACTTTGACAGAAAAGCGATAACTGAAAAGACGCGATGAAGAATATCTGGCAGTAAAATGCATGAAGCGACCTAAAATTCTATACGGGATGTTGTGTCGTATTCAAGCATCTTTGCGACTGGAATCTATTTGTGCAGATTTGGACCATGCATCAAGCTAGTGCGTGCGTAACGAAGTTAATATGTGAGACTTGGTGAGCAAGTCTTGCTAGGTAGGTGGCGAAAACTATAGAACATTGATTCTTTCTTGCAACGCCGAGAACAATTGTAGTTTTATGTGAAAGAAAATACCAGAATAAATACTTTTTAGTGTTATTTCTCTTCTGTGTGGAGCGTAGAGCCTTATCACCAAGCTTTTCTGATACGGTCCCTTTAATTTCAAGCTTTCTCATTGCAAGGTGCACAGCAACGCCGTTGCATTTGGCAGCAGTATTAGTCGATTTGATTGAATTATTATGGTCTATACACCCTATACAAGTTGTGCAATGATCTGTTCTCGGGAACCTCATTCACTTATACAGCCCGTGTTTCTCGTTGGTCTTAAGTGATATGACATAAATCGGCGCAGGGACCTGAAGGAGGAATTGCACCACGCGGAGTTGGTCACCGCTGCATGATTACGCTGGTGTGAAACCTTGGCTAGGTGTGGTTTGGCACCTTTTCAGAGACCGCTGTTTGTAAGCGGTCGATCTTTTGAATAAAGAACAGAGAGACTATCTCATTCTGGGTGAAAATCGATGAGATGACTATGATTTCTTCGGTCAATCCCCAGATAAAGCAACAGCGCATCGCTCATGCAGCCCCTAGCAAGGAGGCCACACGATAAGAATCTCTAAGGTAGAAATGTCCAAAACGCTGGAAGTGTTGAAGCGACAAATATCGATGGGATTCGCGCTGCCTTACCATAATTATATTGTATATAGATTGGCAAAGGGGCGATGACCTGGCGGACTGTGTTGAGAATTAAATGGAATGGCAAAGGATCCTTTCTCGGAAGCATATCAACATTCGTCCTTATGGACGGTTGGCAGACGACATCTTACAAGTTTTGGAGTAATCGGAGCGCGTCTCATCAATTGTGTAGCACAACTTTAGGTAAATAGGGGCTGTATTTAATGTGGAGGGCGAAGGATGTATGAGCGCTCCAGGTGATTTAAACCCCCACAAAAGCTGACATAATATCCGCTTCTTAAAGCTCGCAGGTGCTACAAATGCGGCAGCATCAATCATATGTACCCTACTGGTATTCATCTAATTATGGAAAGAGTCTCGCTCCCGCACACTACCGATAAACCCTTGTGAGGGAATCTTGAGTCTGAGCAGGCACAGTTTCGCCTATTTAGAGACCTTCAAATGTTTCATTTACGTGTAGGCCTGGTTGTATGATGCCTAGCCCAAACAAATAAGACTATACGAAAACGAACGACTCACCGCTCAAGGTTGTTACATGTTGACATTACCATCCCGTGCACTGTAAGAATGTGGAGAGTCATGATAGATTCAAAAGTGTCGATCAATTGCATTTGGCGCCCGATTTTCAATACAATAAACGTTTTAAGGTTGCCCAATACATATTCAATATTCGTTTGTCAGCCACGAGTACTGTCGGAGAATTTTCAACGTCAATGTAATATTATTAACTTTATAGCGTTTACGCTGTCATGTCTTAGATTTAATTGGAGATACGATCATATTCAAATTATGGCGTAGCTAAAACGCAATGTGTTGTGAATGTTGAAAAGGGGTCACAAACTTTCATCATTAGTGAGTCATACATCCTTTCTTTTAGGTGCCAAAAGACGTTCGGTACGGGCATAAAGCTGCGATACCATTTGTGCACCACGTGGGTGCTCAAAAACGATAGCAATTTATATCGCTAGGCGCCTTGAGCCTTGCTCGAAAAAAACTACCGCCAATTAGATTTGGTATGGAAAAGTAATGAAGAGAAATTCCGATATTGAAGGTTTGAGTATATCTTTACCATAGAATTTTTGCGGTGGTATGCCGCGGTCCCAACGGTGAATTAAGGTGGAACATATAAGAGCGACCGTGTGTCGTGGTCTCCAGTATGTATTTTGGCAAATAAAGGTTGTTCGTGCCATCATCATTTGAACAAAGGCCGGTGACAACTGTTAGTCTAAGGCTAAGATTTCAGGTAAAAGGTGTTGAACGAAACCCGCATTGTTCTGATATAACGGTACGGTGGAGTCAATTTCACCGTGTGTTGTGCCTACTGCGCGGACCAGTTTAAGCCCTACATGTAGCGGGGTTACACGAACCCTAATAACAGTGGTGTGTGTCGCACGAGATATGCATAATGTGACCACACACCCAAACAGAATACGGCATGGGGCTAGGTATGCATGTATTTAGATTTTACTATTTTATATATATATATATATGTATATATAGTATATTAAGGAAACTCTAAGCTTTTAAAATTACGATAAAAATAAAAATCAGTTTCGATTGTGAACAGAAGTGTTCGTTTGCCTTGGGTAAGGCTCTGAAGTACATTTAGAGGCAGCGGATTGCGATCCGCCTCAAGCGCAAAGCTTCGGCAGCCCCTCTGCACTACATGTTAGAGGTCAAAAAAGATGGCTTAATCGCAAATGAAGAGACGGCGGTCGTCTGTGAGGGTATTGTCCCTCGTTGCATATTTGGCAAAAGGTCTTGTTAAGTTGGAAGAATTTTCTTAAGGCGTTGTACTCAAACGTTGCAAGATAACAAGAGGATCAACTTAGTACACTTAGTACAGAAAAATGTGCTGAGCGTATCTATTGTCTCAAATAAGTTTGTCACCGAGAATGGTTACAGCCATGGAGTGCGAAGAGTGGGACAACTATCGTTATGGTCCATTGGATCGGTTTAACCCTATTTCAAGGAGCATCATGAAGTGGTCACGACCGACCTACTGCCAATGTTTTTCTCGTATAGAGCAGTGCGTAATAAAATTGACCTGGTTCCACGAATCATATGTTTTGTTACACAACAATAGCTTTACCAAGATACCAGTGTGATAATACAGGCGACCTTTTGCGGCGCAAGAAGTAAATTGGTGACAAAGGCCCCACTTGACGTCATTCGCCAAAGCCAGAATTACTAACGGCAAGTAGTGAAACATGCATCTGTAAATATATTTAGTGCAGCCATCACTCAGGCGCAAATTTCAGTTTCTGAAGAGGGTGAGCTACACAATAGCACAGTCAAGTGCACCGAAAAACTTTTTTTACCTGATTGATGTACACCAACAAAGGCTCACGAGGAACAAGGATATTTCTTTCATTTTAGTGATTTTTTAGTGTAAAACAAAAAACGTTGTTTTTATGCTCCAGAGACCGCAGGGTATCAAGCAATTGATATTTGAACCGTAAATTTTCAGGACACATTGTGCCTGTGTATCAAACAATTTTGGTCGTGGCAACGGTCTCGGTTGTAAAGAACGCGGATACCCGGCATGTGTTGAGACTAAATCAGTGACTTAAACGCGACGAAATTGAGCGTAATGAGCTAAAAGTGTGACACTATGGCTATGATATATAATGTATTACGCCATCACGCAAATACACGAGACAAATAGAAATAGGCATGCATTTGTAGCGTGTGAAAAAATAGCGAATGCTGTTGACCTTTCTGTCTCCAATCGTTTAGCTCGGATTACGCCCTTACTACTTTGGACCGCATTTAGGGGTCGCAGAATTGATAAAGTGCAATACTGGAAGACAATGCAATCAAATATCCAATTTTATTAATGACGAAGCGGGTAGCGACGATCGCCTGTAGCCAAGCAACCCTCTGCTTCAAAAAATGAGTTTAGTTTTGGGGCCTCGGAATGACTCAAGCAAATCGGTACGGTTGCCAAGCACACGCAAAATATAATTTTTATCAGCACAGTCTGCACGGCCATAATCAAGACGAGATTCGATAGTCGAGGGTGCCTACGGCCCTGCTTCAAAATTTGGGAATGCATTATTTCATGTGAAGTACATAGAGGCCCGGTGGACTCACTCAGTTATGATAAAACGAGTCCGGGGCTTCATGGAGGTCTTACTTTGGAAAAATTGCTCGGATTAAGTTGCGTCGTGCAACTGAGCGCACCCTGTCTTCACTTTCTCAGGTAAAACATTTTAGCCAAAGAGACGAGGTTTTTCATAATGATTAAGACTTGGTCTTGGTTCATAATGCAGCTTAGCTTATACCTGATGCAGCAGGCCTAAGTATATGAACAGAGCTACCTACACCAAAGCTTGAAATGTTAAATGTCTACCGCAGTGTTGATTAGGCGTAGAAATTTGCATAATCAACCATCAATCAGTGTCCAAATCTTAACGTCTACTTTACTAAAGCTGGTTTTCAGTAGCGTTAATTGAGAGATCGTGCCTTCTTCACCCAGTGCGCAAATGATGCACAGGGCTAACGAGATATTTTCTAGTGTTTTGAATGTGAGATACTTCATTTAAAGAAGGAGAAACCAGCCGTTGCTGTTCTGTGTGTAGGAGATGCAAATATATGGTGACATCTGTAGTCGAAAAGCCCCCAGCTAATGACTATGTGGCGCATTTTTCCGTTTCTTTATCAAACAAACGCTGCACGAATCGGTAACAAAGGCTCTACCGCGACGCAGCGGGGCCTATGACGGTCTCATAGGCCGCTGCGTCCAGAAGTATGACGGTTTGTGTCTGTGGGGGTCTGCAAATTTACTATCAGAGCTTGCTGATCCACGTTTCGCTCGATAAAAGCAAGTTGGACGTCCTTTTGACCTCCATGACAAAGTGAAAGATTTTTTTTGTTGCAAAAACATGAAGTGATGTTCGTGACACTGGGAAGGAATCGGGCGGAACTTAGAGGGCGCCACAACCTTGACGAATTCAAGATCTCGGATCAAGACTTGGACAATCACTGAGACCGTTCCCATCGATAAGTTCCTTGGTCGCCATACCGATTATGGCGTGTAATTCGTTATTCACGAGAGCTCATTTTTTCAGTATTTGCTGGGCGGTAAAGTAACTTTGGAAAAGGGGTTCCAACGTACACACATCTTGTGCTGTAGGGAATAATAATTCCAAGGCGCGGTGAATGCTCGTACAACATAACTTCTTGTCGCGAAAAAAGCAGAGTGGATGTGTTTCGGGGATGGTGTAAGAAGGTAGTCTGGATGCATTTTAAAGTTGTGTCCCGAACTTGGGACACACCTGAAAATCTCCAAGTCTTGTTAAGGATGAAGGTTGTGACTTTGTAGAGGAGTGAGCGTGAGACGCGTGGTAGGCTAGCCTCAAGCAATGTGGTACATAACGTTAGGCCGACAAGCATATAAAATATCCGCTTCTATTTATCTCACTCTTACTTTATGTCACGCACTAGATAGAAGTGTCATCAGTATTACTTACTTCAGGGCCTCATTCTTTTTTTGCTTCTATTAAGGGTACGAACCCATTTAAGCGTGTCAAAGCTTTTTCTGTGCAAGATACACGGCAACGCCGGTGCATCTAATAAAGCTTCTCGTTTGTTCTAACAAAGGACCCTTTATAGACTATAATTTATGTGGATCGTTCGCTTGTTTGCATATCAGTTTATGAGATGAGTATGCTAGTCTTCTGAAGAAAGCGCAATTGGCAGCATTAGGGCTTATACTGTTTAACGCTCGCAAAGAGGTCATCATTTGCTGCAATAATACAGTTTTGAGACACTTCAGATGCGTGCCAACCAGATCTCTGCGGAAGCACAAACGACTCCCAACGGTGGAATTGACTTTGCTAAGTCCTGGTGCTTCCAGCATAAAGACAGGTAAAGATTTCGATAAGAAAGTGACGGCTGAGACGGTGATGTGGTCGTGTCTTGTTTAACACAGAGCGCTAAAGAGAGTGCGATTCAGATTGCCGCGCAAAGAATCGGGCAATTGCGTGGTGTATCTGTGTAGACGAGGTAGTTTTACAGCTTACTCAAGCGACATATATCGCCAGTTTTTCACCCCTCTAAGTAGGTAAGATGATGCGATCCAACGTGATGTTCATCGACCAAGACAGAAAAATGTAGATGTGGAGGATGGAGTTATACCGTCGCAATGGCGTTAGAACCTGTCTTTGAAGGCGGTGGGTCTTCGTGTAGATGCAGCTTGCACACAGATATTGGTCCTTTTTTGTAGAAGTGAATTTTCATTGAATACAAAGTATTAAGTGCGGCGCTGGCCATTTGTTGTATGAATCTAATAGCTGTCAGAGTGAGCCCGAGACAAAGAGTTATGGGTATGTTGAAGAGGGAGAGGGGGTATTTTGGCTGCCAAGCGGCTTTGAGGTACGAACATTTTTATATGTGGCAGCAAAATACATGTGTGTCTCGAGTGGCCCCAGTTTTGAACCAAGGGATATGGTTAAACTTTCACGCAGATTTGTTAGGCAAATGAGCTGTGGAGTTCTAGTGGGCGCAAGGTTCAGATTGTATATGAAGTAAGCGACTCTTGTAAAGAGAGGCAAGGCTCAAATCTAATGCTGTTGGTTGTTAGCACCAACGTTTCGGGATTTATGTCATCGCGGACAGTTTGATTGCTTTACGTTGAGTCGCAGTGCGTAATGACGCATGATCTGTGTAGAGAAATGACTTAAATATGTCGAAACAGCTGGAAGCGTGCGGGGACAGTGAGGAAATATGAAATGCGTGCGCCGTGCAACGAGGGCACAAGCGGAAAATCAAAGCTTATATCGAGGACTTGGTGAATAAGATTCTCTTGGAATATTTGGTGGAGCGACAAATTCACGAGGACTTCTACCAGTTCCGAAAGAGTGAATGAGATACCCTCGTTTGGAAGTTTTGTGGTAACACAAGGTATCGCTTTGTTAAGATGGCATCCTTGGCATTCATTACTTTGGATTAAGTTGTTGTCACCCATCGCAGCGCGTGAGTAAGGCCGGCCTTTCTGCTGACTCGACGCTTGAATGATGTTGCTTTGGTCTCATAAAGACGAGCGGGGCTGTAAACAGCAGAAACTTGGAACGATAGCTTTTCACCATACTATCTACGTTGTACAATAAACTTCGCAAAGACAAGCGTGAGTCAACGCTGTAGTTGCACATTCTCTTCGCTGAACCTGCCCTGTATTGGCATGTATACGTTCTTCTATTTGCTGACACTCTAAGTTCGGTATGTTCTCCGATAAAGTTATGGCTTGTGGATTTAGAAAGTGCTCGTAGAGCAACTTTCTGGTGATCATTTTGAATTTGGGTTAGTGGAATTCTCGCGTGCAAATTTACATAAGGGTGCTGTCTAAATGCTGCGAGTATTTTAAGGCCGTAATTTAAGACGGGTTGAAACCGTTTCGACATAAATGGTTTAACAAGAATCGTTGTAATTTTTGCGCTTGCAGAAGAGCAAGCTGTGCTTTCTGAACCAAGGCAAGCTTGTCATCAACAAACTGGACATGTCGTAAGTTTTACGGCCGGCCGTCGCACAATTTTCGCCATTGTCAATAGCACAAGTACGTAAGTTGTACAGGGAGAGAAAGTAAATCATAGAGAGCAGCCTCTTTTTAAATAACGTCCAGCCATATTTCGTGAGTTGACGACATTGTACATTCCGAATTCACTGCTGTTGATTTCTCCGAAGAACACCTCGTCACCTCATCAATACTGCTTTAGGTTCATCAAATGATAGGATCGAGCCTTATTCGAGATCTCGCCGAGCCATTTGTCGTAGCGAACGGGTAAGGACACCTGGTGCAAGTATACACTGAAATGCAGGCAGAGTTAAGAGCAGCCAGTGGAGTTAAGCTATAAAGCACAGTATGTGCTAGTGAAAAGCTCACTTTTTATGTAGTGTCTAAATAAAATTTAGAGGGGTGGGAGCCTTAGTCTTTTCTCATTATGATTGAAAATAGAATACCAAGGTCACTTATGGAAATTTGTATCTACACCTTCACTTTTGAGTCAATTGCATCAAATCAATACTGTGCACTTGTACGAATTTTACAGTGCAGTTTCTGCAGTGGTATATATTCATAACTACTGACGTATTACTATTTGAATGAATGATGGAACTTCGTCTAGGATAGGTTTATTTTACTTGATGGCGGTTAGATGTATCATAATAACAAATACAGTGACATCGGAAAACGTATATATAAACTATATTTTGTCAAATTTATTGTAAATTTTGCAGAACTAGCTGGAGCTTGTTTTGTACAAGACCCTCGATTACGATTCGCGCCGAATCGCACGATACCGACCATTCAGCATCTGCTAACGCAAATGCTTTGACTCAAAATATCTTCTGTGCAGAGAAACGTTGCTCGCGAATACTTCGTTTGTATGTGGCTTCATCAAACCTTTGCCTACTGTATATTGTTTTCGGCATCGCAATCTCGAAAGGCGCTCCCAGATCAACACCGTTCTGACCGTGCTACCAAAATTAATATGAGGTATCTCGAAGACCCTCACTAAGTTTCGTCGTCGCATTACGTAGCATTATACACCAACAGTTGCTCACCATCGCCTCAAAGCACAGGTTTGCTCAGCAAAATAGTATGGAAAGGACGTTGCTATGCTACAAAAGATAACTTCATATCTTACTGGTTCATAAGTATCAAGATTGTGATACTCTTCTGGAAAGTGCACACACAACACAAGACGGGTTCGCTTTTACTTTAAAATGTTAAGCAATCAAGTCGACGATTGTTTTGCTACAAACATGAAAGCTTATAGGTGGCGCAATATCAACTTGATCTAATAGACCGCAGACATTGATGGTTTAGCTAGACGAGCTGCATTCAACAAAAGATTTTGTCCAATTCGATATTCGCTCTTGATGCTGACTTCTGTTGCATTCAAACAAACTATAAATCGGTCATAGCGTTATGCATTTATTCGTGACGCTTAATCCCACAGAGGTGAGACCACATGATTTATTTTCAAAGTATAGCCGGGATGATATCAGCAAATTCGAATGATAGCATTATATACATCGTGCGCTTTTGCGGTGCTGTTCAAGGCATTTAGAAATTACTTAATCGTATTCTAGCAAACCTTTCAGCGGATGTTATACAAAAGCAATAAGTGAGACCAAATTATGCGAGTAACATCGTCTTTCCGTGCATTATATCCGCAACAACGCGACCCACGTGTTTTATCTCACTTTCCGGTTGCGGGTGGTCATGGCATCTAGTGCCGATAATGCTCGCTGGCCGTTTGCAGCAGAGCACGGATCTAAATTTGATTACGGCAAACTAGGTTGGCGAGATAGTTTTAGTTTGAGCATGCCCTCATCGAATACGTTCACACTGACAGCAACAAGAAGAGCCCGGTTTCTCAGACGATTCGCGTCGTCTGTGAGCTTACCGAGTTCCGCACTAAATGTCCAGCAAAAAACATATTTATAGACTCTCAACACTCTTTTGAGACATGCGACGGGTACATGCAGCGAGCTTTTGGACTATTGACACGCTCAACTCGTCAAAGATGGGCTTATCCACTGAACAATGTGGTTTTATAAGTACACTATGCTTTCCACGCCGGAAATTTTCTCTTATCAGCGGTTGAACCCATAGACGTATCATTTTCCTCGTACAGTACTCTGTACTTAAGGTCTCCGTAAGAGGAGTGTCATCGTGATACACAAATATTGCTTTCATTTTAAGTTCTTTTACTGCCTCTGCATACTTTCGCCTTTTCTAGACGAGTTCATCAAAAATCGTCAAGTATACATGATTTCTATGGTTTTATAATATCCGGATTTTCACCAGTATACCAAGCTGTACGTTTCAACTGTTTTAACAATATAAATGGCTAGGTTCAATTGACCGGGACGTTCACTAGGTCCTAAAGTGCCCAGTTTTATACAATAGCCCCCCCTAAGCCTTTTGTTGATCTATTCCCGCGAGGGATTGATAGAATGTCCTTTACGTGAGTGCGCTCTTCGCTGAATACAAATGAGGTATGCAATGTGCACAATATTTGTACCTCGACGGGTGAAATCGTCTATAAGTAACGAAACTTAGCACATATAATCTCCATAGCTCCTCAGCATGACTGAAATCTTTTGCCTCAGCGTGCTTAAAGAGATCTCACTTACATTTCTCCATAAGGTCCTCACAGCTTGAAAGCTGTACTCCGCATTCGACGCAACTCCCACAGCTTCCTGGAATAAGCTAGGGTTACTGCAGCGGGGCTGCCGTAGCTTTGCGCTTCGAGGAAGCGTAAGTGAGGTCATCGACCTTTCGTTCTATAGTTAGAACAAGTACGAGTTTAGCGGATCGCAATCCGCTTACTCCAAGAGTAATGACAGCCTTAACCCAAGGCTAATGAACTCTTTGGTTTAAAGCCAAAACTGACTTTGTTTATTTTTATCTGCGGCAAAGCCGCCTAATTTCAAAATGCATAGCTTCTCTTAAATATGTATAGTAAAATCAAAGTACATGTATAACTACTGGATATCCAGCCCGTACTAAATTTTTTTGGGGTGTGATCACACCATGCCCATCTAGTGTGACACACACCCTTGTTACCAGGGTATGTGAAACCCCGTTAAGCGTTTCTGGTTGTCCCGGGGATTTGAACATCATATGTTGTATCCCAAAGACGTTGCCGTCCATTCACAACTTGGTGAATGGATTGACGATATCTATTATCGAGTGATGGTTACCTTGTACCTTCCATACAGGTAGTTCTGACACAATAAGTCCACGTCTACAATTGCGAGAAGTCAATTTGCATTCTACATTTACTGCAATCACGTTATTAAATGCTGGATGGGTTCACGCTAGTGTTTAACACGTAACTTGTGTGTTCGGTCACATATAGACACATAGTGTACGTAAGTATTCCACACAGAGAGCATGCTTATTGGTAAAAATATCAGCAAGAAGAGTAAAAAAAAGCACGGAGTTGCATTTCAAAGTCGGAGCAGATAGAAACTTTTTCGCATTATATAGAACGGTAAGGGATTAGTGTTGCCTTTTTCATGTGCGATATCTGAAAGTTGAAGCTCTCTGGGTTGTGGTTCTTGGATCTTAAAATGTCTGGTATTGAAAATGAAGAATTTCTTGCATATGAAATAAGCATGGAATGAATGCTATTTATATTGCAAGCCTCTGACACATTTTCTCTCCCAAAAGATCAATGGCATCTTTCTCGGGTCCAGGTATGGATGACTGACCTTTTTCAATCTGATCGGATGATGTGTTCAAGAAAATGAGTGTGGTTTATCCCAAGAGCTCAACTTTTTTGACAATACAAACAATGTAGATTGAGTCGAAGCTTTTTCTGTCCACAAAGCGTCGATCAAGACGGCTTTAACTATGTTTATTAAACGCGATCTCGCGATCATTCTTTACCTATCACCGTTAATCCATCATAATTGAGTTTTGCTTGCTAAGCCAAACCTATTGCAATCTCGGACAAAAGAATTAAACGATTTATTTGATTTGATAATGCGAATGTTTTCGTTTTCGAGAATATTATTGTAGTTGTACGTACTTAACTTCCTGATTCCTTACAAACTGATGTTTCTGTAGATAAAATGGTCTGATGATAGAAACGACGCTTTTCTGATCCGTACCCAAAAGGAAATAATCTGGCTGCATTGGTTTGGCATTTCAATGAAGCTTATTTCAGATTTTGATAAGCAGTTGTCGAACAGCCACAATGCGCATTACTGTGCTCGTCCTCTCCCTTCTCCTACATGACATTGCCACCCTTAGCGCTTACTCAACCTCCCAGCACGAAGAACCCGATTTTGAAACGGTTCTTATCACCAAGCAAAACAATGAAAGTCAACCAGTCGTAACCAATGATGACAAGCGGATATGGAAGAAGAACGTGTTGTACTCGAGACTCGTGCCATTGCACAAGAAATAAAGTTGATGGAGAGCAGCGAGCATGTTACGCAAAATGTCAACAAGGGATTAATCGCTAATATCAAGCAGTGGTATTCTGGGCTATGTACCATCGACGATTTAAAGACAGTAAAGCAACTTTTGGATGCTGGATCGACTGGATATGATAAAGCGATTTTGCAGGGGTTTACCCCATCTTTTGTGGAAATCATGGTTCGTTATGGCAAATTAAAGCACCTCGAAAAGGATCTGCCGTCACGGTCTGATATCGTGGAGTTTTCTAAGCGGTACTCGGATCTGTTGGGGGTTCCAGAAACTACCGATGAACCTGCCTCGTTGAATGCCATTTGGCCATCCGGATTGACGCTCAGTTCGCTCGTTGATGATATTCGTAGATTTTACCAAGTGTAGAAGCAAGATATCTCATTAGAAAAGGCGCTACTAGCCAGACAATGTTGTCTGCAAATGTGAGTCCAATGATATACAAGAAAGCGCTGCTAGACTTGAAGATATTGGATGAATCAAAGACTTACACTTTGAAGGAGTGGCAGAAGATTCCCAAGCTTAAGCAATTTCTCAAATATCTTAAAGTTACGAAGACCTAGCCTACGAACAAGGCTGCTGCGTCTGCTGCTTGAACGTCGCTTCACTAGGTGTATAATATCATGAATGAGTGTCCCATTCAGTACATTTGTGTTTTGTCATACATACTGTCTAACTAAATTGGTGTATTCTTGCTGGATCTCTTTGTCGCGAGACGAATGTTTTATGTTTTGCTCGACTAGCTTTGATGCCTGGTAATTTTTTCCTATTATAACATTTTTTAAGCTGTGGGGCTAAGCGTGTTTCTGCAGTACAACAGCGACGACAATCAACGATACACTAACGACATTTTTTGCTGATAGAACATGAAGCATTCCTTCGTAATATCGTCTTTCATTTATATCTGGTTTCACGCTTCGTAGCACTAACATAAGCAGTGTATTGATGACCTCAATCCATCTTGGTTTTAGGTGCAAAACTACACACATGGAGGCCTAAGGGATAGTTAAGCATGCTACCTCTGTTAAAATATACGTAGTGCGATGAGATGTGCGGTGCACTTTACTAAGAAAAAAGCTCGGAGTTATTGATTCTGCAAAAAAATTAAGGAAGGGTTCGTACGTTCCACAAATAAGTGGGACAAAAGTTGTCGAAATAAGTCATAAATTCTCTGCTTTATCTTAATTTCAAAAGTTCATCTCTATGGATTGAGGTTAATTTGAAGTGATACTAAACAACTATACTCTCTGTAGATGTTCGGACTACACATTATTTGCTCTGAGTCTTGGGAGATTCTTGAATATTCTTGCCGCTTCTTTTATGTAAGTGTAAAATGGCACTTACTGTGAGGCCGTTGATGGTAAGCGTTTGAGCTCTCTATAAAGACAAAAAAGTCTCTTCCTGGGTAAGAAGTTGAAATGGCCATAAATACAGACATCCCCAAGACTGAACAGCAGCGTGTCGCACCAGCAGCTCCATGCAAGGAGGTCACATAAGCAGAATTTCTGCGGTAGAATACTTCAAACGTGAGAAGTGTTGGAGTGGCAAATAACGCAGATGTTTGCAAATGCCTTACCATGCATATCGCCTAGGTCAGAAATTATTTTTTGTCCAACTGTCGGAAAAGCGAGGACTGGTGGACTGTGAATCGAGAGCTGTTTTTTTAGCAATGGCGAAGGATCATCCCTTGGTTGCAATCATAGTTACCGTCTTTATGGAAGAATGCCAGACGATATCCTTAGTTTCTTAGGGAGCAAAATATGTCGCACCAGATGTGCAGTAGCGTACTATGTAGCAGAGGCTGGTTGAAGTACGAAATGTGGAGGTCCACGAGTTCTCCTGGTGTATTAAAATAGCTAACAAAAATACTGTGACCACTTAGCTGCCGATCAACTTTTGATGCTAGCAGATTTGTGGCAGTATTCGCATTGCTTATCCCCAATTATGTCGGTGAAGAACTGGTTTCTTAACCCCAGCAGTGTCGATAAACCATTTGCAATAAAAGTTCGAGTTTGAGAAGACGAACCGTGGCCTACTGACGATCATCTGAATTTGATTGTGCATCGTGAAGACTAACGTATATGGTGTCTTGCCTGAACGTAGCAGAATTGTTGAGAACTAAACGACTCTTCGCTCAGATTTGTTACCGGTGAACATGACATCCCAGTGTGACGAGTCATGTTAGGCTCAAAAGTATCGATCAAACATTTGCTATACACGACTGTTGAAAATAGTCGATGTTTTGACAAGTACGATATCTCTGCGTTCTACAGTAAGCACTGTCAAAGCATTTTTAACTTTCTAATAGATTTGAGCACATTGTAGCGTAAATGCTGTGCGGGCCCTAGATCATTTTAGGAGACGAGCAGATTCCAGATATGGCGTGGCTGAAACGCAATGTGGTGCCATTTGCAAACAGTATTGGATGTTACAAGCTTTGGTCATGGATGAGTAATAAATCAACCCCTTTGCTATGAAGAACAAAAACGCGTTTGGAATGAACACACGACTGCAATAGCTTCTGTGTGGTACAAGTGTTGCTTGAGCTACCCGCGGAGGTCAGAAGCGGCATTTAAAATCGTTTGCTACCCTAAGCTACATCGAAGCCTATCCGTCTAAATCATTCTAAAAGCTTCTACAAGTAGCCTTGTTTATCGAGACCAATGAACGACTACCATTATGTCCGTAATCAATATCCATAATCATGATAATAACTGTAAACAAAACCCGCAATACTTGTGACGTCATCCACGCACATTCAATGGTGTATCTCAACTCTACCATTCACCGCTAATGTTGAAATTGCTTCAATTCTTGCTTCTTGATGCTTTTTGGGAGAACCTTGAGCGTCTTAATCCCTAGTGCCTGGTAAGCATGTCCGCGATCTGATTCTTTGTATCGACGTTGTCGATGTGGAACGTTCTGTATTTAACGTCGTCTCGCATAAAGTGATGCTTGATGTCGACATGCTTACTTCTAGCATGATATCCCGCATTTTAGGCCAGTGCTACTGCCCCTTGGCTGTCCTCCCAGACTTGCGTTGCATGATTCCAATCTTTTACCATGTCCTTCATCATCGCATCTGCACAAACTTATTGCCAAGTACTCGGCTTCTGTTGAACTCAGTGCCCAGTTCTTTGAAATTTCTACTTGAGCACCACCGACCCTTTACTAATTTTGACTATCACGCCAGATACAGATCATCTGTCGTCGATGCTGCTTCCCCAGTCTGCGCGCACAAATGCGTCGACCATGATGTCGCTGGTCCCTCCTTTACTATCCCATGCAGGCGCGTTGACTCAATTATCTTAGCACACGAATCGCGGCTCGCCAATCTTGATAGTTGCGTAACTATGTAGGCAATGTCCGGTCTAGTACATATTGCTAAGTACATAAGGCAGCCGATGAGAGGGTGATATGGCTTTGCATGCATTCCAGTAGCTTTTGCATCTATTCAATTGTTTCTTTGGAAAGCTTGAGACATGGGTTACTGGTCGTCTTGGCGTTCTGCTGACCGATTCGTTTCGTAACATCGTCAATGTAACACGTTTGCTTGATCATAAGTGCTCCGACTCTCTTGTCGTGATCAATCTCCATCCCCGAGATAAACTATGCGCCACCAAGCTCCTTCATTTTGAAAGGACTCTTGAGGGCATCTTCGACTTCACGGATCTCTACACTGGTCTTGGCTGCAATTTTCATATCGTTCATGTAGATGCCAACGTAAATGTACGCACTCTTAGAAAGCTTTACATATACGCACTAATCTGCGCCGCAACCCTAAAGGCCATTCGAATAGAAGACTCCATGAATCCTTTTGTTCCAGGCGCTAGCTGCTTGTTTTGATTCGTAAATGACCTTATTCAGCAAACAAACATTATCCCCTTAACTCCAGGCGGTATTTCCATATTGACTCGATCACTTAGCTCACTATTGAGAAGCGCGGTGTCTGCATCCAGCTGTTCCGATTCATATTCGTCTGCGACGCAAACAGCCAATACAACCCGAATCGAAGGAGTACTTTTTGAAATACTTTAATTTAAACCCCCTTTGCGACAAGTCGTGCCTTGTAACGAATGACTCGCCCGTTCTCATCACGCTTCTTAGCAAAAACCCATCGACATCCAATTAGACGAGCAGCTCCGTGCGATATAATAGACTAGGTGCCGTTTTGTTGATTTGATAAGAATCAGTCTTCATTGCTGCTCGCCACGCCACTGCTTCATCACTTGCAACTGCTTCAGCGTATGCATTTGGAATGTCAGATACACCGTCGATTGTTGCCGCATACGCCAACATTGCTTCGTCTAGCAATCCATCTTCATCAATTTTTGGGCGCTTTGAAGACGGTAATCTTTCGCTTTCTTTTGATCTTCTTTCATCATCCAGCTCCAAGCCGTCTTCCAGTAATAAAGTTGGCTCCCGAGAACGCCTTGACCGCTCTGTGCCCGGATAAAATACCAAACGATTCATAATGATTCCACGTTTACAATCACATTGACGTCAATTCTGTGCACTCAGCATTTGCTGATTTTGAATAGCTTTGGCGTGTTGGTTCAGCAATGTTCATTACGTAAATTGTGTATTCAGCCATAGTATTCGTATGTATCTCATCCATGCTGTCACATACAACGGTGTTTAGTGTTGAGGACATGTCTGTCAATTGTCTCCAGCAAGTCAATCTTGGTTTGGTAGTATATGATCAACAACTGAATTACAAGTAGTGTAATTTTACAGCGCAGCGAGCTAACGTCTTGAAAACTCGCAGACGACAACTTGAAAGAATCTCAGGAAGGATGCATTCCTTGTAAATTGGCTTCAGCGGTTCATAAGGCGATAACGCAATCATATCGGCATCCTCAGCCACCCCAAAATATATGCAGCTTTTGCAGAAGTTTAAGCGACCCCTTGCAAAGTCCGAACTTTTCTCTCAAGCCACGACCGACACTCCGGTCATTTCGAGGCTTGCCTTCTCAATGCCATCTTCTAGCAAAAATCTCTTGCAAATGATTTGAGCATGACATACCATGAATGACCGTTTTGTCGACCGAAAGGCACTCTTAGATGATGTTGCGTGTTGACTTGGTTACATTTCCGCCGTTCTGCGATCATCACCATGTAAAGAGCCCGTCATTGATTGACTGAATTTGATAGCAATTGCTGAAAATAAATGTTTTTTCTTCAAATTGTCCGCTTGCTAAAATCATCAAAAGTCCTTGCTCGAAATAAAAAATTATATCCTAGCAAGAGCTCGCATTCATCTTATTCATGAAGAAGCATCTGCTGTTGATCATCAGGCTGATTATACATTGCTCTGTGAGGGTCACAAGCCTTTCTCCATCGTTTTGCAGTAGCAACAGGTGTTCATCATTCGCTTGGTGCACGATTGATATCGAAGGTGTTCTCAGCTAAGAGACCCGTCTCGGATCTTAGTCGGTCGACCTTAAAACTTTGTTGCAGGACCGAGAGAGCAAGCTTAATGGTGAAAACGTAGACAAGAAGTACAAGAAAGAGCACAGAGTTGCGCTTTATAGATGGCTACAGAGAGAGCAAAGTTACCATCACGATAATGGTGTTTTCGCATAATAGAAAGATAAGGAGTTTATTACACGATTTTCATGTGCGACTTCAAGAAAACGTAGCTGGATGGTTATTTGCTGTCTGCGAGCATCTCGGGTCTTGAATCTGTTTCACACTGTGTGATACTTTGGTATTTAGTGTTGGAAATGAAGACTCACTTGCATGTTAAAGAGTTTTCTACCAGATGTGGAAAGAATCAGATTCATATTGCATCCTCTGGCTTCTTTTTCTCCAGAATAAAAAACATATTTCTTGAAGTGAACCCAAGATTCGGTTCCAAATTTATCTGATGACGAGTCGTAGTAACCTTCAGCTTTTTATTTGTCCAGAGCTATAAAAGCGATGTCGAGAACTTCGTTTTCTTTATTTCAAGACCACCATTACCTCCACGAGTCTATCATGATTGTACGTGGTATATGTGATCCTACCGCTTTTCCGACTTCTTACGAAAACTAATTCTTGCTGATACGGTAACCAATCTGGTCCGATCATATAAAAGACGCTCTACTGAGCTGCACCCGATAGGCGGAGAGAGTATTTCACAATACTGATATGGCTACATGGATTTGGAGTGGTGTTGAGAGTAATTTAAGATTTTGACAAGCGGTTGTCGGACAGCCACCATGCGCATTATTCTGTTCCTTCTCTCTCTTCTACTGCATGAGTTTGCCATCCTTAACGCTTACTCACCCCCTCAGCACGAGAAGGATGAGTCTGAAACGGTACGTGTTACGAAGCAAAACAGTCAAATGGTCGTAGACAACGATGACAAGCGCAATGTGAAAGAAGAACGAGTTACACTCGACACAGATGCCATTGCACGAAATATGATGAAATGGTTCAATCATTTAGATGATACGCAAAATGCCAACGAAGGAATTTTACCCGTGTTAAATATGTGGCTTCTAGCGGGATTATCGCGCTTGGTTCATGGGATGAAGACCCCTGTTGACTTTGAGGTGGTGAAGATTTTGCTGGGTGAAGGACAAAAGGGTTATGATGTAGCGATTGTCCAGGGTCTTACCCCACATTTTGTGAAAACCATGATTGGAAAGCACGTGCCACAGATCAACACACCCGATCTACCGACATCGTCAATTCTTGATGCGTTTTCTGAGCGGTACCGCGCACTGATGGGGATTCCAGGAACTACCAATCCGCCTGTCGTGTTAAATGATATTTGGTCATCTGTTATGTCTCGCGTCTCGTTATTATATCGAGTTGATTTGAAATTACAGCCCCTTTTCGCAAAATCGCTTATTAAATCTGAGGCTAATGTCCAGAAAATGTTGTCTTGTAATGTGCGACCATTTCTGTATAAGAAAGCGCTGATAGATTTAGACATATTGGATGAGAAGAAAGCCTACACAGTGGAGGAGTGGACCAAGATTCCTGCACTCAAACAATTTCTCGAATATCTCAAAGCTGCAAATGACGTTCCTGACATCTCGAAAGCAACTGCGAAACGGGGATTGGAATTCACTGGAGTTGCTTCACGAACACCGTCGCAGTAAGTGTAAGATGTCATCAATAAACTCTTCATTCAATATAATAGTGCTTTCTCATATATACTGTCTTCCTCAATTGGCGTATTCATTCTCGGTCTTCAGTTCGTTTGGTCAATTAGTGTCTCTCAAGTTATAGGGAAAGTGTAAAGTGTTCGTATCAAACAGAGTCAATAGAAAGTGTAACGGGGTATGATGGTGTTTTTCTATTGTAAACAGCTCAGATTAGTACTCATGGATGTGAAGACAGTCATTTGATTGTATGGAGCTAGTCAATGCAGGTTAATTGAGTATCCTGATAGTGGATCAAAATGAAATGTTCTTTGTGGAAAATTTGCAACACCTAATCATCTTATCGTAGTCACCAATCGCAAGAATTTGATCTCGCCCATGTAGCTTTTTCTCATGCCTGATTTCGAAAAGACTCACACGCCTTTAAAGCACTAGCTTGTTCCTTAATTCTTACTCCAATGCGAATTATACGTGACTACATGTTACAATTGGACTTTGACCGTGACAATCAAATTTGTCACCCAAAGGCAACAATTGGTTCAACCTTTACGTCCATGCATTTTCGTCTCGATCGGCTTTTAATTTGATCAGCTACATCACAATTGGACAAGTAAAGTGAAAATGCTTACAGCTAAATGGAGCTGGTCTCGATATGATGCACATGTTGGTATCGTATAGGAATTCTTGCGGAGATTTTATCGTATGTCTCACAAAGTCGATTCCATTACTAAGTTACAAGCAATTCAGTGGTATGGAGTAACTCAGCAGCTTTTGGAACTACAACTGCGCTCGTATCAAAGGCATGTTTGATATGAAATAGGCTTCTTTTAGTTGATGAGAAGGATCAAATATATTGATGCTATGCAAAACTGTTAGCGATATGAGTGGTGTCATTTGACCGATCAGCAAAAAGCGATTCTCGCAATTGGTAGAATACTAGCACTTTTCATCAATCACTTGTCTAGTGAAGATTCAGCGTGTATCTTCGACGTTTAGGAGACCCATTTGTCTCAACATTCTGATTTTCATTGCTTTGTCTATCCATAAGCTCTCGCACAGGCAAAATATGATAGAAACCACGTCGTGTGCTGAGAAATCGATTGCTTTCCAGCAACAATCCATGAGCTAGACACTGCACTGACCAAAGATATTGTTCATCACCAACAGTCTTCTCCAAACTATTAGGTGCGCCATTTCGTACAATGTCTTTCGAACGAATTGGAATATTTAAAAGTTCTTCAAGTGGAAGACGTTTATACCCTGCCATTGCAGCCTGGGCGGAGGAAAACTCAGTCCGAGTTGGAGTCTGCGACGACTGTGGCTCCGATTCATCGACTCCAACAACGGCAGTACTGCCATGCTTGGCTTTCCGACGATGATAAAGATATCGAGTTATCAAGCCGATGGTTGCAAATAGAAATGAGAGAAGCAAAAGCTCGAATAAGGGAGTATACACCATCCATAATCCAGAGCTGCACCCACGAATTGGTAGCAGATGTGCGTTATCTTCAAACGCGTTGCTTATTGTCATATGTCCTGGAAATGCAGCACTATCGACAGCTTGTTGGTGTTCCAATATATGCTTTGTCGGCAAAATCAATAGCAATCGACTATGAAGTAAGTAGCCTGCCATAATAATTGCAGCTACAAGTTCGATACTAGAAATGTACGTACGTGTTGCTAACATGTAGGCTCGTCCTTCATCAAGAAAAACAAAGAATCCCCATACGACATGTACGAGTTGCAAGAGCAGAATCCATACTTGCAATCCTGATAAAAGCGTATGGATTTCCACACTCGAGAGTGATGTTTTTTCGTGACTTAGATCCCATACAGCAGTGTGTGGATACAGCAAGAGCCACGATAAAAGCGCTGATACAGTTGTGAGAATTGCAACAGGTGTACTATGCACAAGTGAGTGAGCGAGAAGAGTTACATGTCCTTGATCTTCCATTTCTTTTTTCGTAAGTTTTTGCAATAGAGGCGAACGAATGAGATGCTCAAAGAGCTCTAAACTAGTCCAAAAGTGTACTATTAGCAACACAACGTCCAAAACAATCATAAAGTTGTAAAGAAAACCGGAACAACTCATGTTTAACGATGTCGTCACTTCTATTTTCCTTTGTACGAACTCCATATCTGGTCTTTTCGATTTCGATAACAGATACTTATACGATCGAATGGCATTTTGTCGAAACAAGAAGTGCAGTCCAAAAAATTCAATATCATCAGCCATGAGATGAGCTTTGTTCATTTGTAAGGCGTCAAAACTTGTTGCAAAATGCCCAACGAAAGCTACAGTTTTAATTGAAATGTCTGGACCAGCACAACCAAAAATTGGTCTTAAAGAAACATCGTTTGATTGTTCATGGAATTCAACGCCTCCAACACAAACAACTCGACTAAGTGGTATACTTGTGCCAATGACATCAAGTAGAGAACGTAATTCACGCTCAGCTGCAGACATTGGCGAGGCCATCATACTATTCGTCACTTTAGGCGAATCAAGTCGATACCTGAGTAAGAAATTAGTGACCATTGCATCTTGACATAATGGTGGCCGTCTTGAAATATAGAGCAATTGACATGCTGCAAAGGCCATCGCATCAACGCGAATGTCACTTGTAAGAAACATTGTTGAGAAATGAGGTCTCATCTCTTCGATTAAACCATCAGGAGCCGAACAATTGGTTGCTAGAACATTTAGATATTGAAAGTGAGAGCTTTGACGTTTATTATCATGTGGAAAAGCTTGAAGGTCACAAGAATCGTGAAAGATACGCCACCCAGTCAAACTTCCGCTTGGACTTTTGTTTTCATTGGATATATTATCGAATAGAAAGGAAGTTTTAGTCGTAAATACATAGGCATCGCTTGGTCCAAGCCATTGAGTTTTGTAGTATAGATCTCGAATGTCTAATACTAGCATTAATATCAAGATGAAGGTGTCGAATAGCTTTTGCAGCTTCCAGTGCATTGTCAAAGACGAGATGACGAAAGCGACTGCTCGTTCGTAGGTGCAAAATGATATATTTCATATTTATCCGACATAGTATTTACTAGTGATTGTTCAGTAACATTTCGTGTATTCTGCACCTACATAACGACAAGATCACGTAAAATTGACGAAAAGATATGTACGATTGAAAGATTCGCTACGAGAAGTTGTCGAATGGAAAAGTGTAAGTTTTGAACGTACATGCGTCCATGTTCGGTAGTATATATACGTATGGAACGTACGAACGTATTTTTCAAAGCTGTAGAATCCTCAAAATCGATTGCATTGTACTTATCTAATATCATATTGCTTCATGCACTGCTTACAATAAGGTGAACATTCGATTCGTCGAAATCAAGAACTGGTGACTGTAGACTTCGCTTCTTTCACCTGACGGTACCACGCAAAGTGATCCGTACAGAAATTGTTTGTTCGTTCAGACGCAGGCTTTCGACAGATTTCAACAGAACAGCGTTTGCCTGTACATGAGTCAATATATGATAAGAGATCTGATAGCCATTTGAAACTGTAAAATTCTGCATGTACCTCCTCCGTGTGCCCAACAACGACCAAGTGAGACCGCAATTTTAACACATCCTTCTTCCTTGCAACGAGTACCACCGCCATGTGACCAGCAGATACCTCGTGACTTGGCACGCTTGGTACAAGCTTCCACCGTACAAATAGTATACCCTCCTACAAAACAGAACGAGTGAGTCCACTCTCATCCATGTGTTTAATAAAATTTGTACGCACACACCATGTTTCCAGCAAAGTCCTCGGTTCTGTGCTCGGGAATTGCACTCTTCAATACTACATCGTTTACCTCCCTACATTCAAAGACAAAGACTTATTTCTTGCAATCTCATAGATGTACAAACTCAAAATTGTACGCACCCCATGTCGAATACACAGACCATGATCAACGACATATTTATCACAGTCAATCTCCTTACATATGCGAGCTTTTCGTTTCTTACGTTTAGGTGTCGCCGCATCCGATAGCATTGTTAAATTGTGCTTTGAGACAGTCGAAGAATTATCTCGTTCTGACTTTCCCTTTGACGATACGATCATAGAAGTTTGAGCAGCATCACCTAAAATAAAATCGATAGAGCCTTTAGGTGTCGTGTCGGTATCTGCATAGGTACCAAGGGCATCAAATGTTGCATTAGGTGACAACAATGACGTCGATGATGGCACACCAGCCTCGATGAATAAGCCATGAAATGATAGTGTACGCATAATGTGCTCGCTACGATGTGAAATTTGAAGTCTACGTCTCTTACTGACGACTGATCTCGTTTCCGTACTGTACGACCGAGATGTTGCATAGTCCGACCATGTTTACTACCTTTGCGACCAGAGTGGTGACTTCGACGACATTGAATCGATTACGACAGGTACTAGGTACATATACAAAGATGGCCGTAAAATTTGGATCATGGTTTCTGTCAGTCCCACAGCGAAGGACTCTTGGGATTGATATCTGGCTTTTCCACTACACAAAGAATTAAAGCATCATATTAGATGAAAAGTTAGGAATTTCAAGCATCGTATTATCGTCAGGTAATGCTTGTCTGTCCACACGGTTATCCAGTGTCTATTACATACGATAAGAAGAAGAGTACAATGATTAGATCCATTCTGTGACACGATAAGAAACCAATTGTGTAACAGGTTCATTAGTCACTATCTCGAGGCTCAAGCGCTATGGGACAAGACTTAGAATCGTAAACATCAATTAACTCTAAAATGTCAAATTTACTGTCTACCTTGGTCACTAAAGTGGTTGAACAAACGAACATATGAGGATAGTGTGTACCTTATTAAACGACATGTGGCTCTGAAGCTTCTTGTTACTGTGGACATTTCCAGCTACAATTATATCAAGACAAAGATATGACATGACATCAAGACGTAAATTTAGCAAGTAATTATCTTCGAGTTCTTCACACGTACAAATAAATCTGTTTGTACATGTAAACAATTTATGGACGTATTTATATAAATTACACGAGAATTTCGCTACTTTAATTCGTGACAAGTGTAAATGCAGCTGTCGTTTGTTCCCTTTGAGTTCGTTGTGAACCGTGTTCAGCACAAAGGTTACCATTCCGTTCGTACGCAGGTTTATGGCACGAATCCACTAAACAACGTTTTCCACCACCATGTGCCCAGCACAATCCATGTGAGACGGCAATTTTGGAACATCCACCATGCTTGCAGCGAGTACCACCTCCATGGGACCAACAAATGCCACGTGATTTGGCACGTTTTGTACATCCTTCCACGGTACAGCGTGTGTACCCACCATGTTTCCAACACAAACCACGATTTTGCGCTCGGCAATTGCAATCCTCAACAGAGCAACGCTTACCACCACCATGACGGATACACAATCCACGGTCTACCACGTATTTTTCACAACCTTCAGACTTACAAATGCGTGTCTTACGTTTCTTCTTCGGTTGCGTCTTGGTCTCAGTTGATTGCATGGAACTAGGTACTGACGGAACAGTATTCCTGTAAGGATGGTACACCACATTAGATGAAGAAGTTGGGAGGTACAATTGGTGTTGAATCATGTGGTGTGAAACTTCGACCGCTTGACGAGTTGGTGGATTTAAGATATATGAGATCGATGACGACGTATTTGATGGTGATAAATTACTAGATGAACCAGTATAACTTCCTTGTGCCGCAAGTGTGGTCATGAGACTTGGAAGTGTGGGTAAGCGAGGTGCGAGTGATGGTAGACGAATGGTCGGGTACGTTTGTGGGAATGGGTACAATTCGGATGGCATTGAGATTGCGTGAAGAAGTGGTGCCAAACGGGAGGAGTCGATCGAACCAACTTGCATCGTTTACTTGATCAAGTGAAGAGATTGCTTGTGGGGTGGTGTTTTGCTAAGTGAGAAAGTGAGGAATTGTACCTTGACGTGTTGGTCGTAGCAGCTGTGGCGACTGGCAAGAGTTTTAAACAGGATTTGCCACCAGAGAAATCGTGATAATCACTCGCAGAGACGACACTATATTCTGTCTAGACGAAATACCAGACACATTCTTTAAGCAAGTGTCAAATCCTTTCACTTGGCTAAAGTATTTATGTGATCTACCATCCGTCAGAAAAATCACGTTCAAATTAAATCTTTTTGAAGCGTGTAATGCTTGGCTCACTATGACTCAGTGATGGAATAGTCTTGCTTTACATATTCTTCGCACTAGATCCCTTCTCCCGCCTATTACGTTCTTCACTTTCTTTTGATTCATCCAGACTGATTCTTGGTTCGTCGAGACGTAGAAGAGTCGACCTTCGACTGTACTAATAGTTTGCAACCCTACTGGGGTACAGTACCAATACTGGAACTGTACATGTTTGAGAGAATAAACACGATACTGTCAGTAAAAAGGGGGAGAAATTGCGTACTGTACATAAAGTATTAGTAAGAAGGAGAAAAAGCAATGTGTCATCATTATGTACGTCCGAGCCGTAAACAGCTAAAAAGCGTCAGATTGTACAAGTACTCACACACTTCCGTGATCATACAACGTATTGTACTTCCTTCACATGATCCATCATCGAACATAGTATTTAGATACAATAAATACCAAGAGCACACACCACCATGTGGACACACATGGATTGTATGTGGGGTATATATATCTGTGCGAACTACGGTCTCATTTGAACGCACACAAGGAATTGCTTGTACCAGCCGCTTTTGAGCACAATTCTTTTGGCTCCCCATCGAGCAGATAATATGATGATGTGTCGTTGCCGCTTGATTATTGACGCAGTGATACAAAGCATGTACTTCTATATGTACAGTACATGGCTGGATTATGGCGCTTTCAATTCCAGTCGCGAGTAGCGGGTGGATGGACACCCTTGCGCCAATTGGTACATTATCCATACACTTGCAAAATTCGAACACGAGAGACTGATACTTGACCAAATCATCTTATAACCTCACTCATTACCTTGAATCATTTATTTAATCTCTTTGCATTCCATTATCACATTTAGTCTGTTAGAAAATGTCCAAATCTGTGCCGAAAGACGTGGTCAAAATATTCGTGACTTGCGATACTTATGCGATCATCTGTGTGATGCGAGAGTCACCATGCGGTTTTGTATACATGGCATACCATGAGGTGATTGTTTCTATGTGTTGGATACCGTGGATGTACGACGCTCTCAGCACAGATGCTCCAATCACTAAATATTTCGTCGATTTCTCCTCTCAGAGCGAAAAACGACAGATTATCAGCCGTAATGAAAATCTTTAGACAAGCCAGTGCTTCGTATTATCTATGGGCTTTTTGTCCATCTAGTAGACGCGGCTTTGTTAAGTGATTACGACAGAGTCTTATCTTGTCGTATTGTTCGTAGAAATCCACCTTGAACTTAAGCTTATGGTGTAAAAGAGGCGTTTCTCAGCTCTTGTAAAGCTCGTTGACGTGTACGATCACTATATCTGGTCATAATCATTTCACGAAACCATCTTGATGCCTACATACGTGTCTCTATGTCATACTCCTGCCAACAGAGTGTTGTGTGCAGGGGTCTTTTTATCATCTGAAAGATGCAGTAAACTGAATGTCTGAAATCATTAGGATCGTAATTTTCTTTTCACAACAAAATTTTGCATTCATTGCCCTTCCACATACTGCCGTCGGAGTCTTGCCATCTGCGCTGCAAAAAGAAGATGAGAGACTAAGTAGGAAGTTAAACTTGTCTTTACAACGAATATCGGAACTGGACGTCACCTCATTTTATGGCTAGGAGCGCAGTCCAAACATCCGGGAAAGAAATTGAGCGATGCACAGTGCACTGCTTCGGTGGTCGAACTATGCGTCGACATTGAATTCTTCGTCTATTTTTACTGGCTTCCTTGTGAAAATAAAGCAGGTTTTGAAGAACCACGTCAGAATGGCTCATCTGGAGAAATTTTGAATGCTCTCCGCAATTATACCACCACTTAAGTCTTCAAATGCACCTTCAGAGTATTGAGTGATCTGGCTCGTCTTGAAAGATTGACGACCCACATTCCAGATAAGCACCAATCAATTTTCTTATCCCTCTAAACAATGTCACTGGTTACAGAAAAGAATCTCGACACAATGCAAGTAATGCACTTCTTGTGTCTGTCCGTTTCGTAACTATTGTCAACATCTACACCGCAAATGAGCTTGAGAACGACGCACTTTTATTTGCTTAATGGTAGGGGAACGCGATATGTTTTCGGTGCGACAACGTGCCGCGAAAATTGTTACAATTCTCGTGGAGAGACCCGCGCGACTTTTCCATTTACCATCAAAACCTACGAAAACGAACAATTCGATTTGTAACAAACCTATGTCAAGTCCAAGCGTTACCCGAGACAAAAGAGGATAGTGATCCGCAATTCATTTCCTTGTTTGCTTTTTCCATGGGAAAAGACAAAAGTTAAGTCTTTCCATTGACATTTTAAACACGATTTGACAAGTACAAGACGTATAGTTGCAATAGCTCGTCCGTTTGGGCATATAGATCGCAATCTCATCAAATCTTGACGATTTGAAAGCATGCGAACAAACGACGCTAAGGCTCCTTACCAAATCATCAAGTTAGTCATTCCAGCGCAAACTTAGTGATCAATTCGATGTTCCATCAATCTTGTGATCTCATTTAACTATTGAGACACATGATAACCACATCTCGGTCGGAATGATTTTATCTCTCGGTCATCTTGTTGGGAATTCTCGTTCATAATATCTTATTCATCCTCAAGGCGTACTACTTCAGTTATCAATGCTCACACGATACGATGGCGTGCTTACTACATATCTTTATAGGATCGGAACCTCTTTCCGACCCTAATCTACCAAAATCGTCGAGTCTTTACTCTGTATGCGGGAAGATGCTAGTTTACAGCATATCAATACGTTGAGTTTCTCATCATCACTGCGAACCTGTACTGTACGCAGGCGTCTGAGGCCGATTGGACAAACACATGAACAGTAGAAAGACTGGGGCTTATCTGACATTGTGCATTCTGCATACTATTGTACTCACACAAGTTCTCTATAATGTGGCTGGTTTATCTGCACACGTACGTTTTGATAAAATCCATTCAACACATCGTATGTATGTCTTACTGCGAGATGTGCTTGTTCTTGAAAGAGAAAGCGATCTTAAAAATCCTGTTCGAGCAAGTTTCAAGTGCAGAAATTTATCGAAATATAGGCAATCTTGCGCAACGACGGGCGTGAACCGAAGACTTGCAAATTGTCACCACACGCATAGTCACATCTCTGAAAAAGATAAACAAACTTTTCGAACCAGGATTGTAACATTTTAAGGTGTTATATAATTTAAGCACGATGCTAACCCGATCTTCGCAATGACAACCTTAAGCAGCATGCAACCGAACGCCTTGTCGGATGCCTAATGACTCAAGGAATAAGCGTATGAATTATACTTCGAAGAACGCACACTTTGATCCCATTATTAATGCGGCAGTTCGCTCACCTATCTCAAGTTAGCCGCGTCTTACCCTCAAGTTGCTGTAGTTATGACACAAAACCCAATTCCATCGCAGCTTTGTCGGCTTGATTACAGATGTTGTCGTCATTGCATAGATTGCGTACTGTTGTGAGCTTCTCGGGATCCTTGAGCTTGATCGATAGTTGGAGCGCATCGCTGTACAAGTCCAAGCGGATAAGGGTTTCGAACTTTTCATCTACAGACGTAATTCGAGTCGTGTAGCTTTCAGCCTGTTGCTTCTCGCCTTGTTCGAGACACGCGACCGCAAATGCTTTGAACCCACACGGCGGATTCTTCTTTTCCATAGAAAATTTGTGCAGCGCATCCCATTGACGCGTCTCGGCAAGAGCTTTTATCTTGACGCGATAGAACCTTTTATCCGGAACTTTAAACTTCTTAGCAAACGCTGCCACAATCGGCAGCAACTTGGGCTCGTACTTGCTATCACACAGCAACATTTTCATCGTATCCGAGATGGACGTACCAACAAGTTTACGACGCTTGACATTCTCCGGCTTCTCTTCCAATTTGACTTGTTCTTGCAGTAATTCAATTTGTTCTTCAGTTAATTTCGCATGAGATGGCAGCTTTGCATTTGTGTACTTGATCATTGCATCCTTAAGAACAGTAACTTTCTCCTCGACGTCCGATGACTTAAATGAAAGCAACAGATCGTTCTTTGCGCTAGCAACGTCTGTCCACAGTGCCGGGATGTTCGAGCTTTTGGTCTCGCGATAGTACAACAGCATCAGATTTACAGCTTCAGCGTACATTGCTTCACGATTGAGCACGTAACGAAACTCGTCCATTGATGGCAGCGTACGTTCCAGATGGAAAAGTGTCATGTAAACCAAGTCAGTATTGCTCGACTCAAGCGACTTGCGCAGTGCCAACTCAAACTCGCCCATGGACAGCAACAGCGGGACTTGATCCGATGCGTTTTCTTCTAGATCTAAGAACATGGTTGCTAATCGTCGACGATTCACACGTTCAGCACAATTCGCAATGTCAGCGTATGACACTAAAGTCGCATTCTTAAGCTTTTTGCGTACAAGCGCCACAAGTTCTTCATCTGAAACGTCCGAAGATGTTGCTGCCTTGACCTTTTCACAAGCCCAATGCACCAGTACGCGATCTGTTGGAATTTTTAGATACTCGCAGATTTTAAACGCTAAAAAGTGGTGTCGCATGGCCACTAAGCGACTCACAACCACTTCAGCTGTCAGACGATCAAATTGTGTGACGGTCAATGGAAAACCAACTTCCTGTTGTCGAAGTGCATTGAGCACGCGAATTTTACGGCACATTTCGACAAACATTTCCGTATCCATCATTACGTTGCCACCTCCCGTATTTGAGTTTCCCGAAAGAGCTGCCGACGCATCCAAAGGCGAATCCACAAAGCACTTTCCATACGACGCTGCACGCAACAATGTCGTCTGGGCAGAGTAGTCAAATTCACTACCTGCTGCATCAATGCAGTCTTTGATCGCACTTTCCAGTGCATTCTGACCCATGATAAAGCGAATGTGTTCATCAGCTTTTGCATCACCTGAATCAAATGCATCTAGCGCTTGGTATAGCATTGCAGCAGGAGCTGTCGAGCCTACACCTTTGATATTTTCAACACATGTAGGAACTCGAAGCACAAGATCATGAGATGATGCAGTATAGACTCGACAACAGTCGACTTCTTGAGCTAAAACGACACTCTCCGAATACGGAAAGCGAAGCCAAGATCCATACGGTCCAACCATGACCAATCCTGCACTGGGCCAATACAATAAAACCGAGTCTTCACCACACCAGCACATACTCAAAGGGCTTGCTTTACTCTGAGTATCAAATGACAAAATCTTTTTGTCCATCATCGTATTAAGAACTGTTAAAATACCATCTTGAGTAAATAATGCCATAAACAACCCGTTTGGAGCAATTGCAATCGATGAAATTGGTGCAGCAATCGAGTCTTGGAGTTTCATATCTTGTGCACCGCCGTCTTTACTTACAATAACCAGTGACTTGTTACTTGATCCTAAAAGTACTTCTGGATAAATACTTTTCAAAAATCTAGGCTCAAGAATAGCCATACAAGTTGGTGGATTTGAATCCGAAAGTCCACAATCGGGCAATAGCGACACTTTTGGTCGGACAGCGTCAACTTCGAGCACTTGAACTAGCACCATCTTCTCGGTTAGCGCAATGAGACCCCCACCCCATGCTTCAAATGTCGCAACTTTGTCTTTTGAAGTAGATGGAAACAATGCAAAGCGCGTCTCTTCGTCACCTGTCATACTGAAAGCAACACAAGTCCCACTAGCAAAGACACATAGCAGACGCAGCTCGTCGGTCCAGGTCATCCCCATAAGTGTCTCTTTCTTCTCTTCAAACGGTTTCCAATCGACAGTACCAAGTTTTTGGCCACAGGCGTTAAAAAGTAGCAATTGACGCGTTAATGGCGCATCCGACGATACTTTTACAAGTTTCTTCGGGTTTCGTAACAGTGCAATGGGTCCACCATATGGCGCACAAGCTGTCATAAAGTCTCGTAGATCTGTCACACCTTCCGACGCCCAATTCATGCCGTATACGGTCCATTTTTGATACTGCACTTTGCCGAGGGTATGCCACTCGGTCTCCATATTAACAATAAGTGATTCCGGATGCGGAATCAAGGGAGGGTTTATGTGGACAACATTATATTTGAGGAAAAATCATAATAATTGGGATATACACTACTAGACCTGACGCCAGGTGCCATAGTCACCAAGATCCTGCGGGCCAAAGCTCATGCGCATAGATTGACGTAGTGCTGGCTCTCGATACCAATCACTGGAGTTAGCGTCGAGACATGGAAGTACATCTGATTCGCTATTTATTGGGTACATGAGCAATGGTGATGTCTCGTTGAGAGTCTCGAGTAAACGTCGAGACTCAGTAGGTAAAGCTTCTTCTTCTCCAGCTGGTGCTTTCTCAGGCTCACCATGCTCGTTGCTTGTATTTACTACACTTTCATCCGAAACTAACATATTCAGAGGAAATGCACCTTCTTTAATGGACATGCCAGTACTTTCTAGACTTGGACTAGTCTCAATACGCTGGTGTCCACCACGAGCAATCATGCGATGCTGTTGCTCCTTGTCCCGTACATATCCCCATAATACAACGATATATGTTCCCATAAGCAGTACGAAGATGGCAGTGCTTTGTGCTGTGGTCCCACGTTCGAGAATAAAACCACTCATCGCACCTTGGTATAGTAACAAACTTACACATGTACCATGCGTAGCAGTACGCGCAATGCTACCACGTCCTTTAATGCGACGCCGAACATGAAGTAACGAGTATTTGTCCACAACGTGCTGCATTAAAAAGTAGAGTGTACCCAACGGAAGAATGAGTGGGACAACGGTACTAAACATGAGCACAATTGTCAATGTACTAATCTGCGTAGCTGATTGTGTACCAGTATAAAATTGATCTGCTTCCACAGCCTGCACCTTTTCCCGAGGCGTTAAAGCACGTGATGTTGTCCAAGAAAATTTAATGTACTCAGTAGCTCGTAGTAGCACAAGAGCTGTCCCAAGAAAGCAACGCTGGAGGATATAGTCGACGTAAAAGATGCCAGAATTATGAAGAAAGAGTGTACCAAGCATTCCAAGCACCTCTCCATCGTCTTCGAGATACAAGAGCACGGCATCAATTGACATGAACGCTAAACTTGGTACAAAAATAGTGTTAAAAATCAAGTAGACGGATGCAGTCCGTAAGATCAAACGTTCTTTGGCTGAATCGGTTGAAATGGGTTGAATACGACCAGCAAGTTGAAGAACATTTAATAGCACGGCGTTGATCATCACAAGGATGAGCGTGGGAATGTAATTTGCCATCAATTTTGCCATACGAGGAGAAACTTTCTTCAACAAATCGCCTAGATGTGCCACGAGGTCGGATAGCGATTGAGCAGCACTTGTCGAGTAAGATGAGCTACTGGATATGGCGGATGTGACAGCGATTGGAGACGTAAATAAAAGCAGAACCACAAGAATACAGACATTTACTAATATCACCACAACTGTACGCTTGGCAAATGGAAACGAGACACTTTGCCAGTCAATATCGTCAGGTTCAGGAGCTGCTTCCAGGTGCCATCGAGTCAAACCCAGTTCACGCACATAGCGTACTAATCGCGGCTGGATATGTTCTGGAAAACGAGCTAAGATAGACGTGATACTTTGATTACGAACGCGACGAGCAAAACGAGCTCGAAGTCGTGCAGACTTGAAGATAATGAACGCACGACCTGCACCTTTGTTTTCATGTAAAATACGCGAGAGGCACGCCATTTCTTGCTCTCGAAGTTTTTTTATGTCATTCACACGTTGCGCAACCTGTTCCTCCATTGGTATGGTCTTGACACACCATCTGTAACAACAAAACAAGTTGCCGAGAAGCAGTCGAAAAGATGGCAGCATGACGGTACCAGGCAACAACCGAAGTGACCACGATGGTTTCTTACCATTGAGCGCGCGCTCATGTAGGATCTTCATACGGGCCAGTTGCGTTTCTTCTTCACGACGACGAGCTTGCAGATTATGAAATTCAGCTAGATTATAAACTACACACACCTCGTCAACGTAGCCAGGAAAAACCTCATCCAGTAGACGCAATACGCGCTGTTCACGGATATATTTTGGTAATCCACGATTAACAAACAGAGATCGATTACTAAGTGCCGATGGCTGCATCCCAATAAGAGGTGAGCGTTTCATTGTCTTGCCGTGGTGCTTATCTTTGCCTAAATTGTTGTCAAGCAAAGGTTTGTTCTCAGCAATCTCAGTCGTTGACAACACGACAGCTTCCAACATACTACTCTCTTGTTCAGTCTTCCGACTTTTGTCGCCTTCTCCTGCTGTCTGCCCTACCGATGATAGACTAGATGACGATCGTTGAGGTAATTCATGTTTCGTCTTCTGTTCCAAACTATGCGTCGGAATGGTCGTTAATGCTTTCAATTGTCGGTAGTATACTAAAAACACAAATGTCGTCAAGTAACTCATGACGACGGGGACCCAAAGATACGGCGACTCATGTGGCATTACTCGAATCGTAGCATGTGCAAACGACCACCATTTATTGTCACCATCTTCTTGACTTGATGCACTACCATTAGCCAAAGTATCTGCAGAATCAACAGCATTTTCTTTCGCAAATAGATCAAGACTTTGTTGAACAGATTTATCGGCAATAGCTTGGATATCCTCAACAGCAGCTTCTGCAGCTGCTTCGACTTGATTCATGGCATTTGCTCCGATTGTAAGATACAAAGGAAGCAGCACAAGCATCGCAATCATGCTCAGAACGCCTAGAAACCGTGCAGTGTATTTCAGATACAATAGATAAAATGTGCCTTCGGGACCAAGTCGAAGCTCAACGTCAGTGTTTCGAATTGGTGTACGCCATAGTAAATCTTTCCATTTCTCAAGCGTAAAGTGTGCCACCTCTTGCGCACTTGCTGATACAATAGAAGTCGTACCAAAACGAAAGAGACTGAAACGAGTACTACGTGCACCCGCTTGAAAAATAACCAGCGCCACGAGAAACATTATGCCGTTAAAACCTAGAACAAAACCCATACCTTGCCATCCCATGGCAGCGTCTTTAGCTACAGTCGCATTATAATCTACGTGCCAAATGTTGTTCGATGGTAGAGAGTCGTCCATTTCCAGGAAGTTCGGACTATGAAGAAGTTTGATCAAAAAGATAAAGGATCACTTTCGACAGGAATTATGAATTTAACGATATTTACTATTCTGAAACTAATTTCAGAATATATCAAGAAATTCTAAAGATTTCACGTTTTCTGACATGCATCGCTTTACAGCACCTTTTTGTTTAATGCACGTGCTGTCTGATGGATGATCTGGTCAAGAATTCCAATGACTGTGAAGACGCCGCCAATAATGGCACAAGCGGATGTGACGAAGTGGTAAAACGGTACCGAATCCTCTGAGATGCGAACTGACATTGGCGATAAATCGTAACGAAACATGATAGATGGGAGATCCTCCGTCTCCAGGTATTCATTAGAATGCGCCGTGTATTTGTAAACGTTCACCTCTGATTCGTCGTTTTGCACGTACGAGTTCGTCACGACTTTAATGTAGTGTACGTACGTGTGGTTCTTGTGAAAAGATATAAATTCCTGATTGTCCAGACGGTGCATGTACAACTTCATCTGTGCCTCGTGCGGTAACTTTTCCATGTCATGAGGCGACAAATATTCTCCAAACCACAGCTCATCGACAGTGTGCGACGCATTTACAAGGGATGAATCCATCGAGTACGCTGGATTGGCCAAGTGCACATGAAAATTGCCTGGGACACGCTTCACATACAAAAATCCGGAGAGACGACAACCTTCGGGACCAATGGCAGAACGTGCAATGGCTCGTCCCTGATCGTGAGCATCCTTCTTGTCCTGTTCAAATAGCTCTTTTTTTCGAGCTTCAACGACATCAATTTCACCAGCCATAAGCTGCTTGAATTTGTCTAGAAAAGCTTCGACAGTACGATCTCCAAAGTACATTTCCACGGGAGAAATATCGCCGTCTTTGTAAAATAGAATAGAGGGATATGCACGAATAAACTGTTTCATGCAAAGTTGAGGATGAGCCTGGCAGTCAACAGATGCAACACGAACTTGCTGCCCGTAGTGTAAAGACGGGAGTGTCTTAGCTACACGAGTCCACACAGGCTCTAAACGCTTACACCAGACACACCACGGAGCGAAAAAGTCAACAGCTACGTAGTGGTGTTGCTTCAAAAATGGCTCAAAAGTTAACTCATCTAACTCAGTAACAGTCGCATCTGATTCGGGCAAATCACCATATTCGTGATCTTCTGCAAAGCGTGGCATGATCTGTTTGTCCTCTGCAAGACCAACCATGCGACCTTTTTGATCCAAACGGACTTTAAAAATGTTTGACGTCATGTTATGTTTCCGGGTACCCGTCATATCTGATACATCTACTGACGCAAATTCACATGGCAAGTCGGGCACTGTTATGTTAAAGTTGATGCGCATGGTCTGGTCCAAGCCCTCGTCCATAACAATGTCATACTTGTAGTCTACCGTAAGGTAGCTATTAAATTCGAGGATAAAGAGGACAAACATGATAAAGCAACCAGCAATCGACAAACTCACGCCGGGAAGCGTGCTCACCGTTAGGTCCTGATAGTAGTAGGATGAAATTAGATGCACGTCAGGAAAGCAAGCTTTACAATGCGCATACCTCTGGGATCTTCTTGTAAAAATCCCATTTCTTTAAAACGTCAATAGCACCCATGATAGAAAGAAAAGGAGAATGAGAGCGACGCTGGTAGATACAGCGGGTTTGAAAGGCCACAAATCAGTTGTTCGGGCTATTTGAGAGTGTCATACGTGGCGGTATAGTAGCTGGATCAAATTAGAGAGGGCGTCAGAATTGTGACAACAACACAAACGAACTTTACGATATTTGGAACCTTCAACGCCAGTTTCGGATTATTTGCCAATCAGCATTTAGCATCGCATTCATTTTGTCTCAAATGGACACATCGTATTCAATCACCTTATATCGGACGCCGTCACCATGGGCTTCTGTGGCGAGTGTGGTTCTTATTTAGCTCCTGACTTACAAGGAACATTTTGTCCTGAATGTGGTATGTTTTTGCTTCTCTATGCATTTTTTAATCACCTTCTTGCGCGCTCTAGAATATAATTAACAAGATTATCGTATCTTCCATTGATGCTTCTTAGGGGAAGCAATTGCTGGCGCCGCGCCGGTTGCACCGTCCCCAGTTACACCGTCTCCTGTTCGTCATGTAACGTTTGCTCCAACTTTAAATGCGGAGAGTGAAGCCGCCCGTCGGCGTGAGGAAGCAGAACGACAAGCTCAAGAAGCTCGTGAACGTGCTGAGGCAATGAGACTCTCAGCACAAAATGCGATTTTGGACTATGAAGCGCAGCAGCGTGCCGCGGCGGAGCGAGAAAATGCGCGTCGACAACAAGAATTGGAAGCCCAGAGACAACAACATTTACAGGTTGCCCAAGAAGCTCGTGCACGTCGAGAAGAGGCCGAAAGATTGGCGCAGGAAAAGCTGGCAAAGGCTGAAAGGTTGAGAGCTGAAGCACAGGCAGCGCAAGAGGAGATGAAAAAACAAGAAGCGAAGCGTGCAGCTAAGGAAAAGCAGAGGGAAGAGGCTCGAAGATTGCGCGAGGAACAGGCACGACGTGAAGAGAACCGACGAAAAGCTGAGGAAGAAGCACGCAAAGCGTTTGAAATGAAAAGACAGGAGGAACAATTGCGGCAACAGGCATTGCAACTTTCGACAATGTCGATTGGCTCGAGTACTCCTACACCAGCGCCAACGCCGGCTTCCAAATCGTGTATATCCTGCCATTCTGCGCTGAAACCCGCTCAAAAGTTTTGCCTGCAGTGCGGAACTAAAGTGAACGGTGCGCTTTCGGCTAGTTCCAGTGTATCGTCGCCCGGTTCGTTCGCGTCTGGCAATAATCTCTCATCGTTGCCGCGTACGAACTCGTCACTATCAAATTCGTCGTCTTCATCATCGCTTTCTAGTGGCGAGCACAACTGCGCATCGTGTCAATTTACACTTAAAGCGACTCAAAAATTTTGCCCAAAGTGTGGTACAAAAGTCGCAGTAGCTGCTACTTCTTTTCAAGCTCCATCGCCTATGTCTTCTGTCAGTTCAACTTCTTCATTTTCTGCATCAAATGCAGCCCCGACAGCTCCAAATACTTGCTTGAAATGCAGTCAACTCTTAAGGCCGACTCAGAAGTTCTGCCTAAATTGTGGGACCAAAGTGGCAACACCAGCAGCCTCGACTCCAACCTTGTCCTCTTCGTTCTCGTCTGCGTCATCATTGTATACTTCCGTGCCGTTGCCTGCTCCGATTCCTACGTCGGGGTCGTGGTCAGCACCGTCTTCGCAGCCTGATACCAAGAAGTGCCCTTCGTGCAGTAAAGAGTGCAAGGAGACAGCCAAGTTTTGCATGGGTTGCGGCTTTAACTTTACCAAGAGCGACGATGACGAAGTCGCGCGTAACATGGAAAGAGCTCGTCAGCGTCAGCAGCAAGTGCGCGACCGAGAGCAGCAACAGCGCAACCAGGCCTCCCTCATGGCCAACCAGGCTGCGCAAGCTTACCAGCCTTCCTGGTAGAATAACTTCGTGACCGTGTCTTGAGATGTTTTCATTCGTAGTAGAGATGTTCATACTAAAAACAGTCCGCAAACTCTCAGTAAATGAATGCTTAGTACTAACATCTGTAATGGCTTTGATGACCTCATCAATACTGTTGCCTCGAATGTTGCAAATTCACTACGAATAACAATGTCTTGGATAGTTCAATAATGACTACTATACTGAATCTCTCGCATTAATTGCAGCATATAACCTGTTGATGATCTTGGTTTGTTCTTCTATCATACTATTTTGGCGCTCAAGCAAATGATTTTGATGCTCGAGTAGAGCTAACATGCGATCGCTTTTAGACTGTTGGCATTCTATGCTCTTTTTTTGTTGGATCTGCGCTTGTTGTTGATGCAATTTTACTCCAACTAAATCTGTTGAAGTTTAGCTTTATCAATGTCGAAACATCATCAGTCGCGGCAGGATTCAGTATCTTGTCCTCCACCAAAACACCAGAAGACAAATTAAATCGCTTGCAAAATTATGGTATCATCCATTTGATGCCTGAAAAATCCTAATCTGTACTTTGGCACCAACAACTTCGCCTTTTCCTTGACAAGTGACGGTAGTACAGAAATTTTCTGTGCCTTAAGTCCTCGTGCCCATTCAGAAAGTAGTCACTCAAAAGGCACACTCAAGACGTAATTGCCACGTTTACGTTTATCTCTGGTCTCAGCACTACCGTTACGATATCGAGCTCGTATCTCTGGACCCTTTTGCTTGAGCTTTTGGATAGCTGCGCGTGTGATGCCGTCCGATCTCAGCATTCGACAAATTCCCATCATGCTTTTTCAATATCCACTCGCTGTCGATCTGTTAGTCGCTTTCCGACTTCTTTTCCTTTTCTAACAGTCTCTATAACCGCGTTGGAATTTTCAGAAGACGATTGAGGCATCTCAAAGTGAGGGACTGGAATGGCAACATGTTGCAAAGCTTCTACTGTGCCTCCAATTGTCCTATACGGTTGGTTCGACTCTTCAATTCAGTATCGTCACCAAGACGATACTAAAGTTACTTCTTCGGAGTTGTTGTAACCCTGGACAGAGTCGTCAAACGAAGACACACGCCATTCCGTGCTTTCGACCTACTACAATCAAAATTATCTTTACCTTCTTTGATAAGAGTATACTTTGCACTCTATGAGTATACTTCGCAGAATTTTGAGTATACTTCACACCCTACGACCGCAGCAATTTCACCCATGCAGGGATTAACGAGCACTTCTAGACGGCGAGCATTCTCTCAGCAAGCTTTACGGCGATTAGAGGAGGTTCGAAACGGTCGACAGTCATCGACAGTGAACCCTCGAAAATCCAAGGCACTGGAGATTGATGGTCGCTCGTATCTCTTACCCACGCTGACGCTGCCCAAAGCATCGACCACAGAGATTAAAAATTCGCAGTTGTTCAATGCGCGGGCTAGTGGTCCCACGCCGGTGGTATTGGATCTACAGCAAGTCTCTAGTGATGGTAAATTTGGTGTTGCTGGGTATCAAAAAGTTATTTATTTATGTATTGGATATTCATGAAGGCTCGCCACACTCCCAGTCCATAAAGAAGCATGAGCTAAGAAACGAGATTCTGCAACTTCAGGTAATACAATATTGACTGCTCAAGCATGGCCCTGTCATCCCTAAAATTCTTCATTTCTGTCTCCACTTCATATCATAGAAAGCTGGATATTTGCCAGTAGGAATTACTAATGCAAGCGAAGACGTAAAAAAGGTGGCAGAAGCGCTTAATCTGCCTTATTTCATCAGTACGAGGCTTCATCTGCAACACAAAGTCGAAGTGACTGCTTTGGATGAAGCGCAGATTATAATTGCATCAAATGACGCACTTTACGATAAAGAAGATAGAGCTCTATCTTCCGTTTCCACACCAAAAGTAGCAGAACAACTTCCTCCAATGGTAGTGAGTCGTTCGGTACGTTCTGGACAGCAAATTTTTGCACAAAATCGGTCGCTTGTGGTACTAGGCAATGTGAGCTCTGGGGCCGAAGTGCTGGCAGATGAAGATGTGATAGTGCTCGGTGCTCTCAAGGGCCGCGCACTCGCTGGCATTGGCGGAAATGTTCGTGCACGCATTATGTGTCAGAGTTTTGACGCAGAACTCATTTCCATTGCCCACTGCTTTACAACGTGTGACGATCTCGACCAAATTGAGACTGGACAATTACAGCTGCACAAACCTACAGCCATTTCACTTCAAAATGACCAGCTGCATTTCAAGTCCTCTGCTGTGGAACCTTAGTATGTATAATCTCACGTATACAAGTGTTGTATAAAATATAATATTCAAATTTACATTTAAAGTCTGCTACAATTCCGTGCTCAGTCATCTTCGATTTGACCGAAAATTTTCGCTTTCATTAACAACGTTTTGCAGATTACGACGGTATTCAAATGTGCTCTGACAATCGCGTCCACAGAATGCGCTTGTATCCTGCGCGATTGACATCGAGCTAAAAAATAGCAAACCACAATTGTGGCATGTCAATTGTGCAGTTTTGCGTTGCGCCTGAGTTTTGAATTTTAACGTGTCTGGAAATATCCATTCTTCTGTCTCTTTGATGCCCTCAGGCTGGGCGCGCCACTGCGCTCGTGCACCAACTTGCTCGACTTCCTTGAGCATAGAGACATGCTGCCAATTGCATGAGTAGCTATTGCAAGTTCGCGTCAGAAGAGAATCGTTCACTGTCTGCATGTTCATATCCGTCGGACATGAATTTGCTCGAGGTCGAAGATGCAATCGTCGCTGCACGTAGCGCCATGCACGCACATAAATGTTGTTGTCTTGATTGGTGTCGTTTTGTATTGTGCATGTCGAGACGGTGCTCATAGTGGTGCTCATCGTAGAGATTGCCGGAGTGTATGTCAGGTCTAGCATCCAAATTAAAATCTGCTTTTCTTTCTTCCACTGTGTTTGCGTTATGTGAATACTTTTCATCTATCGGTTGCCGAGTCTGACGTACGCTCGCTCGATTACTCATCTGACCTTTTGACAGATTGCGAGCTAAATTCTTAATTGAACGGGACGGGGGTACACACTGTTCTCTCGAGAATCCGCGAGGTTTCTGAAAGTAGCAAGTCACTACTGACTACTCGTCAGTGACGATTCATGCTGCTTTTGATGTGTGTTTAATCATCAAGCCATCGCAAGGTAAGACTACGCCCATAAGTCGCTTTTCGCTTCAACTTCCTATGTTCTATTTCTCTGCGACAGGTAAAACATTCCAGAATGATTGCGTCCATTTTAGATGTAATGATTGCACCAGATGGCATCTCAATCTAATCATTTAGTATAGTTAAGATTGATAAAACAGATCCGTTGCTGTGCATTTCCGGTGGAAATCATTAGATTATTGTTAGCTTAAGACCCGATTTTGATGGCTAATTTTAGAAGGCACATCAGTGTCAATTTATTTTTGTGTCCAGCTTGAACGCTCAGCAAAAAACATTTAAACTTAACATGCAATGTCTTAATCGCTGGTTTCTAAAATTTCATAGTGGCTTCGACATAAAACGTGACCAATTGAAAAAAACAGAACCTTTCAATAAGAGTCACAAACGAGTCAGCTCAGAATCGAACCACAGTATGGGAAAGGAGTTTGTGGTCTTGAAAGTTTCTTTTAGATGATGACTCCTCAAAACAGATTGTTAATTCATGCGTCAGTTTTTACATAAAATGCTGAATATTAAGGCGTAATCTAAAGGCTTGTCAGACACAAATGATTGCTAAACACTTTAATTGTATGAAATATATCGCGAGGTGCAAAGTAGTCATGCCGACTTCTAACACCATATTTCATGTATCGATTCAAGCAAAAGTATAATCCTTATCAATCAATTTCTCTTTTCCTTTTTACCGTGACTTGCCATGCGTCATAATCTGATTGTCTGACTCTGTTTGGCTCATAAATCATCTATTCCTATCGATATCTGCCCTCTTCCTGATGTTTGAATGCGAAATTCCGACATAGCTAGACCTCCAACCCTTTTCTCTGTTTGAACACTATAATGTACCAACGCTGGAAGGTGCAAAGTGAGCTGCCTACTAACATGCTCGAACACATCAAGTTGACGATAGGCACACTTTATCGCAATGTTCAGCTAATTTTCACGGCAGCAAGTTAAGCGAGCTTTTGTAAGAATCTTGCCGCGGCACTTAACTCTGATTAATCTAAATCTCCGAAATAGCTCATTCAACTTCAACTTCCAAATTTTCCAGCTTCTGCGCAAGCGACCAACACTCTTCGTGCCGGCCAGCCAACAAGACGCTGTATATCCGTTCACACAATCACAATGTGTCCCACAGGAAGTCGCCTATACTTTTTCTAATGTGTAGTGCGGGCACGTGGTGGCAGAGCACAAAACCGTCGCGGGTAGATTAAGTCAACCGCGCGCGAGAACGCCATCGCCGCCGCTAAATCAAGTACGCATCTTGATCTAGTCGCCGCGTAAATGTCATCGCTCGCTAGCTTCAGCAAGCCCTCTCTTGTGTTTGTTCTCGTTCGCGTTCCCGGCTTTGGCTCACCGCATCTCCCGCGGCGTTTCTCCCATGTATTCTTTATAGCGTGTAATCCTCTCACGTCGTCATGACGCCAAGACCTTCCGGCCATCTGTTGCAAGGCCGCCTATGTGCTTTCCGGCGCGGCGTCTTCCCTTTAACATATGCCGTATTCACACAGCGGCGAGCTGCTCGTGTCCTCGTGCGAAGCTCGGCTTCTAATGCATCGCCCCCGTGTCTACCCTGTGTTGGGTACAAACTGAAGCCTCGATTGGTCTGATGTAATCCTATCGCGTCCCCGGCCCAATGTATAAAAAAGATCAATTTTCTTTTAAGCTTTTCGGTATCGAGCGCGGAGTCCGAAAATGTTGGGAAGCCCGAGTCTAAGACCACTCTCAAGTCGCAGAAACAAGGTCTATGAAGAGAAGCTTATGTTTTGATCGGATTTAAGCACCGGGGCATGCTATCATAGATGATAACTACTGAATAAGCATCCATACTAAAACTAATCTCTTACTTACACATAAAGCGGGTCTTTTGCAAAAAACGAACGAAAAAGGTGTCAGTGAAACAATAGCAACACGATTTAAGACCATCGTCATTGCTTGATCTGGTCCCAAGTCGTACGATTTGGCGACTACACTTTCTTGAATGGGCAACAGACCTAGTCACGCTGTAGGTTATCACCTTCTCTGTGATTCCTCAACATAAGTTTCTTGCGAATGCTTGATTCCGTCTTTAACTCAGTGGAGACCTGCATCATCTGCTCTCACCACTAGAAACTACGCGGTTAATACTGTCCACTGATATTTAATTAATATATTTTCAACTGTCATTTCCGCAGTGGGCTACTTTGTACCTGGGTTTTGGTGTCTATCGCATATTTGAGCTTATGAGATTCGCTGCTTTCACCTTACCAATATCTTTTGTCTATGCCAAGTTTGACGTCACCAGACCGCATATTTTGTCCAGGATGCGATGTGAGTTTTCGTTATGTCGCGTAATAATTGAAGATACCCTTTAAAGATTCTGGTCTCACTTTCTTACATAATAGCTGAAGGACCGCCTTATCTTCAGTTTTTGTACTTACGTCGGACACATCTTTTTCTTCACCTGTCAGATCCCATCAGATTTTCAAGTAAAGATATCCTAGCGAAATGTATGATATTCTTGTGGGGCATTGGCAAACGTGGTGCTTCTAATTGCTGCAATTAAGCCAATCGGCGACTATTGAGTAGGTCTGTGATCCGGCACGGTACGCCTTTGTACCAACATATTTTCTGAGCTGTCATCTAGGGTAGCTATTCAATCTAATCATCGTTACCAAAGCAATATCGTTATGAATAATAACCAAACATTTGGGAAATGTGGGAAACGATTTTTTACATGATATTAAAATATTTGCTCTGTCATGAAAATGTGCAAATTCCTTAGATTTAGCAAAACCTGGGGAATCATGTGATACTTAACGATCTACTCTGGTGATATCAGATTCGTTCTGCTTCTTTATGAAGTCAGGTAGTATATAACGATCCCGTTATCGAGACCGATTAATCTTGTCTCAATCGCAATCTCATAGCCAGCATCCACTACAGAGTCAATAAGGAACTCTCTTCTCATAATTGGAGACCTCATTGCTTAATTTAATTCGGCTCAGTCCCACTTCAGTTTTGATTTATTACGTTAAGCCTGCTGTCAACACCTGCTGTCAGCTGTCGAAAGGTTGAAAACGGTCTAACATCCACTTGAGGCTTAAATGTATATCGCTAGAAGGCTTATTCTTACAAGCCTTAGTGCCCCTTGGAAGAGGAGCAGGTACATTACCGTCTGCTTTGCTGAGGTTGAGAGCGATCATTCAGCTGCCGATCAGCACCATGGTACTTGCAGAAGTCACATCTGTGACACAACCTAGAGTTTGCGTCCTGTGTGCATGAACGAGGAGCTGGCCTCCCACGCAGTGTCAACCAATGAACCCTCACGTCGAGTGCCACTGAACGCGGTGAGACCAAGTAAGAAGAATTTGGACTTAAAGTTCCTTGTCAAGGTAGTACTCAGCCCTCGAACGAGCGACTTTCTAGGTACCACAGCCCGAGAATATTAGATGTCCACGTCCCGGTAATTGTAAGGCCGAGACATATCCTGCTCAATATTTGACTTTTGATTGGCTCTAGACCTGGATTTGAGATGCTATTTTATTCGGTACGGTGTGGCTAGATTACCACGAATCCCGGGCAGAATGAGAGTCAAAGCCATTGGTGCTACGCCATTCACTCGAAAGTGAGTTAGAAGCCCGCCACTTCTCGGAAGCAGCAGCTTTTTTGGAGCGGGCGTGAAACTCAATAGTGTTAGAACATGACGTGAAGTTGTCAAGCGTAAGCATGATCAGATGTACTGTCCTCAGAGAGGGTGGATTACCAGAACGTTGATATCTAGGTGCAGGCGATGCTCCTGAGGTACTTTGACCCGTAAGTCAAAAAATGCTAGCGTAGCGACTTTCGAGCCCTCGTTTGAATTACTCTTCAAGCAGGATGCTCGAATACATGACAGTATATGAGAGGTGAACAAAGTGGACATACATTAGATCCCTCGATATGACAGGACGGGTCTGCAAAAGTTGTGCGAATTTTGCGAAATGAAAACCATGGTCTGCTAAGCCAGGCCTAGCTCGTTTGTAACGAGCTGGTCGTCGTCATAGGTTTGGCGGCAAGCTTTTCGTCTTTATACTGGCACGGACTGCGCGATTTGTGAGGGGAGCGGCAGAGGTGTCGAGTCGAGACTTAGCAATTAACTTTGGCCGTCCTATTCAGAACACACCTCTACCTCTTCATCATGAATAGTTTGAAGTCGTCGGTCTAAAAGAACGCACATTTCCGAGGAACTTGTCTAGCCATAACGATAGGCCAGAAGAGAGCTTCTGATGCGAATATAGCTGATAGGAGCACGCACGGTAAGGCGCAAGTGGTGTAATTAGACTCCTATCGCAGTGGCTGTAAGAATTATAGTGTCAAGGGTATGAAGTGAAACATTGGTGTTCAAAGCGTGCCAACTCTTGCGTAATGGTCTAACGCGGCAAAAGCAGCGAAAGCCCCCACTGTGATTCACATCTTGTTGTGGGTGTAACCGAGTACATACTTGTCAAAGTGCCCGTAAACATTCAACATCTGTAAATTGCTTTACACTGCACTGTGGTGATTGTGGTTCCAGGTATTGGCCCACTAAAAATGATGAAAGTTTTGGTATGTTGTCCTCATGTCAATCAATATTAAAAGTTCATGTCATTGAACATAAAATAAGTATTACTTTACATTAGACCTAGTTTGATATTTTGTCGCTCGTTACATTAAATAAAACAAAAGATCCCATAACGGAGTTGCCGGGTATTTTGTATGAAGAAAGCATCGGCTTGAACAGTACGCGTTTTAAGACGCATCGAGGTTGGGCTCGTTCGATCCACCCAGGAGCGTGACCAAGTGACTAACCTATTGATTTACTCTGCTGTTCTACAGGACACGTGTATATTGTGGGGTCATTCTTTCCAGACCCATGCTAATGATTTACAACTGACAAATCTCTCACAGGCTTAATATTAGACTTGACGTGCAATTAGCAGCCCACGTGTACGATGGATCTACCCCTTGCGAAATCCCATCATTTTTATCAATCCCGGTACCTCAGTAGTCTGAAATATTTACAATTACACGAAAGCGCAACTTTACTTTCGTACAATCGTACAATGTTGTAATTTGCACAATTATGTATGAGGGTAAGGTGTATGTACACACTAGTCATTACTTACCCCGTAACACCTTCCCTCACTCAAGTTCGGACCACACTTAGGCTCGAGACTTCTGTCGAAAAAAGTTACTGCGCAAACGTGAAAGCTCCACGAGTGACCACTACACTTAGAACCTGGCTCTACGCTTTAAATTTCACCGCGCCTAATTTACATTGCACAATCGCACCTGGAGCTCCCTCCCGTGCACTTTGTTAATTGGCTTAGTAAGTCGTCGGAAACGAAGCGAAGTCAGATCCGACGCTATAAATAATTGAGAATGTTCAATATCTAGGCGGCCGCAGCAACTACCTTCGCCCTCACACGACGAAACACGGCAGAGTTGCTGACCGAGGAGGAAACGCTCAACGCAATTTGACTTCACTCCACACGAGCTGCTTTTTCCACAAAGGAGATGTCTCGAAGCCCCGGCTGAAGCCCATAGCGATTCCAGCTCATCATATCTGACTGAGGGAGCCCGACCTACTCCTCTGCAAGCGCAAGAGTCACGCCACTTCTTGCTCGAATCGTCACGTCACGAAGTGGTTGTGGATGAAGAGTATCTGTTTTTTTTAACGCACTGAGCCCTCACACACCAAATTTGCGCGGGTCTTCAGAGCATCAAAGATCAAACGTGCACGAAATGTCGCTCCGTAGGCGCCAATCTATTTGTCGTCAGGCCACCTGCGCATACAGCACCTGCTGAAAAATCAAGGACCCTACATGAGAGCCGATGCTTGGACACTAAAAGCTAGCGAGAGTGTCAGTAAGTACTATCCTCATACTGAGTTAGAAAAGGCGCCATGTTATCATTCTAAACATTTGCAAGCCAGGTCATTAAATCGGGCGTTGTCTGTCGTAAAGCGTCGTCTCATGTCTGACTTACTATGTACGAATCATGTGACGGACTTCGTGCTGAAAACTTTCGGCTTCTAATTTTTGCTCATGAGACAGCTGTCGCAGCTACAAACCAAGCAATCAACTTGCAACAGATACGTTATCCGCTCAGTAGTGGGAAGCACGTTGCAACACGCAAATTTGCTTCTTCATCGTGAGCAGAGAGACCGAGGGTGTGCCAGGACATAAGCGGGTGGCAGGCGGCAGCGAAATTTTGCCGAAGTTAAGCTTGAGACTCCCATGAGCCTTCAGGATGACGGTGGTGCGCACGCTGACCCGCTAAGCGTTTGTAGTTGGGCCACTCATTGCTAATCAATGAGTGCTAGTGAGGGATAAGCCTACCGCGGCGGGCTCTCGTAAGTTTTCTCACTTGTACTGTTACGTCGATTTCTTAAAGAGGCTTGTCGTGCATTTGTTAATGAGTTGAGTCAAATACTGGATGCGCTCTTAAAGCATTGCCATCTCGCTGCGCGGCTTGGGATAGCCTTGACGGCTCGGATAGCATCGCTACCCAAATTATGAGAAAAAATTCGCTGAAATAGAGGGTAGAGGCGCTGTTTCATCTACAACAAAGGGCATCTGAGTTGGATGGCTCGTACGAGCAGCATCGCGCTATGACTTTAATAAATCCTCGTCGAACACAAGATGTGCTTTTGTTCTTTAAGATGTTAAGGGTATCACTCTTTTTTTCCTGTGCGTCCAAGTATAGCCCGATATAGCGTGGTCGCACATCCGCTTCATATCCGGCAGACGCTGCATGTGTAATTGCTTGATTGCATTTAATACACCCGCATTCGGTATCGGCGTGTTGCGTGTGTTTTTCCTGGCTCCCAGCCGCTGCTTCGCGCATTCTGCACATGACGCGCAATCGCATTTAAATAATAAGCTAAATTCGGCAGCTGAAATGATGTCAGTAAGTCATTTTGGATCGCTATCTCCTCACCACTAAGATTCTTGACAGGTAAAAAGCCTCCGCAGATTCCCCAAACAAAATGAAAATGGAGTAAAGTCGATCAGAGCATGAACCGCGCTATTCAGTGCAAAATCAATGTGAGAGAGCAACTAGTTGCATCATTGTGGTCTCTCCCTGCAGGTGCTTTCAGTAATGCTATCTATAACGCGATTCACACGATCCGTCTCGCCATTTGTTTGTGGTGGTCAGCGTTTGACATATCCAATATGATGCCAAGCAACTTGATAAATAGCTGCTAAACCTTCGCTGAAAGGCGCGAATCTCCATTGGACCGTCAGGTCATGTTGGTAATAAACGTTTTTGACAAACAGCTTGGCTGTATCACCGTTGGCGAGATCGCTGACGGCAGCGAAATGAGCTATCTTGCGCAGCCGGCTCAAAAACACCACAGCGCTGGACGTCTTTCGACAAATTAAAAAGACCCACACTGAAGGTTTCCAACGCTCTGCTGGAACGAGAAGGCTGGCCAAATGCACTGCAGCATGTGGTGCGGGAGCCACCTATTGAATCATTTCACGCGTTCGCAATATCACTTATACATGCTAGGCCATTAATACATAGCACTCACCGAGCAGTATGTCCTCTATATTCCAAGGCGGCCACTCAGAGAGGTATCATGTTCCTAGAAATACATTCTGTACTCGAGATCTTCATCCTTGTAACATGTGGGACAGTATCTTAGTACAGCAGGCCTTGGGACAAGAGATAGCGGTGCAGGTATTCAATCGCGCGCGACAAAGCTACATTTTAGGATTTGTTTTATAAAGCTTTCAGCGATGTGACACATGTACCACGAAAGTCGCAGATGTTAAGTGATCTTACAGAGGAGGCATCTGTGAGTATCACGGAGCTGTTTGGCAGTCATGCTTCTCAGCGTATCTAAGATCGATCGACTCTGTCGCACTTATATAGTCATCCGAAATTCTAACCGGTCCTCGCGTCTTAAGAGCTGTGCTTTGCAAATAGTGCGGTACCTACCGCTCTATCAAAATATTGAAATGGACGCAAAAGGTCTTGATGTGACCCACGGTGGCGGTAATAATTGCTATCTTTATAGCAATTATTACCGCCACCGGGAGATCGCCTGAGTTCATTGTAGCGTTCAGCATTTCAAACTCCTAGACAGAATCTGCTCTTCTCTTCTCTTCTCTTTTTAGGCCCCACCTGCCTTGACAGGTGGACAAAATCTTGGAACTCACCCGATACGCCTATTTAAGCGGTGCAAAATCGAATCTGCTCATATTAAATTGCCTCGTCCAAAGATGTACTACACCAAATTGTTCATTCTCACGCGATCTCCTGGTGTTCAGATCATAAGCGTGATGTTTTTTTTGCTTTGTCAGGATTATGGCGAGATTGATAGCTAAATTACGCTTGATTCACGAAGATGGAAAAGTTTTCACGTCTATGCCCTCAAAGGTCACTTAACTTTAGTAGTCGTACGTTTGGAAGCCAGTTGCTTTTCCGCCAACAAGAGGTTACATCCTTCTTGAAGGTTTCTCCCCAGCGCATTCTCGTAGCTGGTAGACTCTAAGCGTCCCACCACCACTTTCGGGCCTCAAGTCGCGAACAGCTAAAGACTTGTTAAGCGTGCATAGCTGTCCCAAAAATAGGTGCTCGGACAACTCGTGTACAACCCTCACGGAAAATACTGTCTCCACACGACGTGGTCTTTCGATTGACTACAAGTGCTTCCAGGTGCAAGGGGATTGCCACGCTCAGTGGAGGCTTTTACTAAATATCCCGCGCTAACACACATGAAAGTCGATCTCGAACACCCAAACCAAAACTGATAGCCTCTAATGTAGCTTAGCACATAGTTTGCTCTGCTACTATACGGTGGTACCTCTGAATATCCACAACCATACCAAAGTGTAATGTGAAATTCTTACGAACGTCAAAATTTGCGTTTTTGCATAAGTGCACAGAAGTGTAACGTGTACATATCTTGTTTCATATAACTATATGCACAAGGTCATTGATCGAACACAGCGATTCGTGTACAGGTCAAGTTAGCACAAAATCATGGCGCGGTCTTCCCACTGATCATTAAAACATTAACATTTTGGGATTCTTTGCTAACAAGATAGGCCATTGTGGTTCTTCAAATACTCATACTGATGCTGCTGTGTTAGTCGATTTGAAACATATTCTGGTTCGCGTGTTGAGAAATACACATTTTTGGCTTTTTGTGTAAGTGATTTTTTAACGATTCAGGCCTTTAATTTGTAATATCTTCAATATTCATGATATGAACATTCACAAATCAATACTCTCAAACTTTATCACTGCCCTATCTATGATTAACAAACACACGCACCTTTTTTTCGTACGATCGGCTTCTTTTCGACCACAAAAAAGTTGTCGTGTTGAGAAGCGAAAGTAGGATGTGCACTCTGTCTTTTCTCATAACGCATAGTATCGAATCTGCGACAACGTCGTCGCTTGGTCGAAAGATCTAAAGTCTATGGCTAAAATGTGACGATTGAACGCAATTCATTTGACGGACAAAAGACCCCATTCGTTTGATTCGAAATGTAGACCTCGAGTGCTGTGTCTACACGTTCGGCTTCAGTATCACTGATCTTGACATCAGAAACAACTCCTTCGATTGTAATGAATCTCGATGCATACAAAAAGTCGCTAAGAGCTAACACCAATTCATCCGAATCCTTAATTTCACCCTGATAAATTGGGTGATTGAGCCATTCGAGACGCGACACAGCACCAACAGCGTACCCCGTGCATGTAAAAGTGTAATTAAATCCTGAAGGATGCATATAGAATCCATTCTGTTCAATCACTTTTTCCCCGCAATTACCACCCATTTCGTGATTCAAAAATAATCGCAATGATGCTCCATTCGTTCGAGTAGTAATGAGTGTGTTACCAAATGGAGACCACGACAAAACTTCACCCAAAGTCAAAGCACCTGCAGCTACAATTTTGTCCCCACGAATACCACCACCATTCATAACAGCAACATCAGCTGCACCACTGCCGTAGAATAGACGACTTGCGTCAGCAAAGAGGTGACCAATTTTGCAGTCCTTAGACCTCACAACATTTTGTGTTAAGTCAAGAGCTTCACACACACTACCAATGACTTGTTTCTCGAGTTCATCCAACTGTGCTTGGTACGTCGCAATAATCGTATCCAAAGCTTTGTCAGTAGGCAAGCTCTCAACAATTGGAATGGCTTCGTGTGTCATGAGCGCCTTACGGGCGTTTGTCGCGTCAGCAGCATAGTATTCAACATGTGACTTCCAAATGGAACGGAAATTGAAATCAGCTTTTAAATATGGTGTACCATAATTCGTCTGTAAAATTGATGTGTGGTCGTGACCTCCAACGATAAAATCGATACCTGCAACCTCTTTCGAAAGGCGATTGTCGTCTGCTACACCTTGATGGGTCAGTGCGATGATAAAGTCAACATTTTGAGCTTTAAGGACAGCCACTTGGTCTCTAGCAGCTTGAAAAGGATCCCCCCAGTACAACCCCTTACTTGAATCGTTCATGTCATACATGACCCCAAAAAGACCGATGGAAATGTTACCATGCGAAGAGTCTTCCAAAGTTTTAATGGCATATGGAACTGTTCCGCGAAGTAACTTGTGGGTCACATCTTCATAGCAGTTAGCATTTAACCACGTAAAATTCGAGGCCTGTGTCACATTAACAAAGTTTTCGAGACCAAAATCGAATTCATGATTACCTAGAGACGCAAAATCGAGACCAATGGCATTGTGTGCTTCTATCATCTGAAGACCATTAAATTGTGCAGACCAGAGCGATGGTGAGACGGTATCACCAGCAAATAGCACAAGACTGTTTGGGCTGGCATCACGCATGGCTTTAGCAATAGGTACGACACGTGATGGACCTCCGAGTTTAATACCTTCGACATTATCTTGTTGCATATCGTAGACATCATTGTACGATAAGATATCAAAGTGGGCAGACGGCAAGCGGGAATATGGAGGTTCGGGTGATAACACACCAAGTGCTAAGGCTACAGTCCCAAGCTGCATAATTTAAACTGATTGCGATTTGCGCAAATAACGAAATGGCGAAGCCGGTCATGTGTCGCTTAAAGGCGCACTTTTAGAAACTGATACAATTCGGTATCCAGTATCCAAGATAAGACACTATGATATTTTGTGGATGATTTGAGCAAAATCTTATGCCTAGCTATATCGTATTAAGCAATAAATCGCGTTTTACAGGTAAAACTGGACAGTATTTGACTGTCGTGCGTTTGTCATTTGTTCTCCCGCCCATAGCAGACGGGTCGAACTCAACGACCTGAAGATTCTTAGTCCTTAGCACATTAGCTTGAAGAGACTGCATATGCCCTTCCATTGATCTGCTTCTGTGTCCCGTGCACGATGATCTTTATAAGTTTTGACAATTTATCAAAGAATGGTTTAGCTGGCGATGCGCGGTCCAGAAATTTTTAGGCCATGGTATGATTGTGCTTAGGAAGGTGCACGCTCTTTTACTGCTGCTGCACATCATTCTTTGTATTGCTCCTTCATTCTTCACAAGACCATGTGGTCAGCCTCCACCCGAATAATTAATATTGTCTGAGGTGCAGATGGTGTGATCGATCATCCAAGTAGCTTCAATGATTTATTGCATTTAATAAGATTTTTTTTATTATTATACAAATAAGTTTTAGTTTAATATTCCCAGTGCTTCTTCAAGTGGTATAGCGACTCACTGAGTATTGAAAAATTAAAACTATGACGAAAGAAATGATTTCAACTTTAAATTAATTCTCATGACATGTACGTTCTACGGATAAGAAACGATGGGATGCAAACCTTTGAGATCTGCGTAGTTAATCGAGCCAATAAAGCAAAATTTGGGTGCTTGACCATGACGCACATGAGATATTTGTTATTAAATTAATAGACACCCATTAAATGCCAGAAAGAAGAGTAAATTGGGTGATACTTCTCTATATATCTGGGTCCGTTAGCTATATTTTTTTTTTACTTTAAAATATCTCGATAATAAGCCTCTGTCAAGGTCAGTCACAAGTATTAACCAGCTTTGCGCCAACCTTCCTTCATCTAACAAGGTCTTTAATTGTGGTTTAACTGAAGTTCGTTCGGCTAACGCATATTATCTGGTTTATACGGATGTCCGTTCGTATAAGAAAATGCGGTACATTCGGTAATAAATGGATTAGTTAGCTATAACAATTGCTGCATTGAAAAGTTGGATGGATAGATTTACAGTTGTTTGAGCTGAAGAAACAATTGCAATTCAGAGATTGCCTGGACAATGTCGTCATCGACATTGTTCTGACAGTTGCCGAGTTCTTTGCACAGAAGAAGCTGAGTCTGTGTAAACAAAGGCACAAAAATTGGAATCGTACGCTACTACCAGGAGCGAGATCGAGAGCCTCGACCATGATGAGGTGTCAAGTGTTTTGATATTTCGAAAGTACATGAATCTCGAATCGACGCTAATCAGACAAGTACTAAATGTCCATTTCTCTATATCTTACAATAAAGAAGCCTTTATTTTTAACGGGCGGCTAACAGTCGTATACCACAGACATCCCCTTCCCAGAATTGTATCATCTTCATAAATACCAGTTGTGAATATCCACAAGCACAACAAAGTGCAATGTGAGTTTCGTACATTCGTACCGTATAAAATCGAGTATACAGTCACGCCTACACTAAACTATGCGGCCAGACGATCATAAACCGTTCACATTGTGAGGGTAACAAATTTACCTTATATCAAGTACTGAGATATGGTGGTCTGAGTCTTGCACTGGATGCACTCTTTCCTGACAGACTCCGCCACTTTGCCAGAGCTCGTGTCTCTTCGTCGCAGTTGATATGACGAGCGATAATTCTGCAAGCTTGACACACACAGCTTGCATCGGGGCTTCAGCCTCCTAGTCGTTGTCACTCTCTTGATTCACATCAAGCCCAACTCGTTCGGTCACATCCTGGGCACATTCAAATGGCTCTGCTGAGTCTGCGTCAATGTACGCATCATCACCGTCAGTAGCATGCATATTCTTTATCAGCGCAGCGATCTCCTCTTCCACTCTCGCATCCAACGCGCGACCATAATCGTTTTCTTGCCTCAGTCGTGCCACGTTCATTTAAATGTCGGTATCGACGCAAGCTCGTTCGTTGACTGCTTGATGCCATGCATGCTGGCGTCAACCTGAAGTTGAATGTGTTAGAGGCCGTGTAGCGATCGCTAGTTGGGATGAATTGCCCGCTTAAATGCTGCGCAACTGCTGGTAGCGATGCAACATCGTCGACACGTCGACAATAATGATTTCTAGAACAGAGAAAGTAGTTAGTAGGCAGAAATAACTGTGATACCGTCTTTCTAGCCTGCATCCAATGGCTGGATCAGTGATGTCATAATGGGTGGCAGAAACGGTACCGTCACATTCCGACATACAGTGGCTGAACGCATTATCCAGGAGTAGAAGAATTTTGCCGCTGTGCAGTTTGAGATCTAAATGCTGGAGCCAAGTGGCAAACGTGATTCGGTTCTGCCACGCGGTTGGATCGTAGAAATATTGCAATCGCATTGCTGAATTCTTGACCTGTCGAAACGCTCGTGGCTGCTTCGCCTTGCCCATAATTTCAACATCGTTTTCTCAGTTCCAGATAGATTGCAACAAAATCCAACCGTAAAATGGACTTTTTCGGTTGTTGAACAATGTCGACCGACGGACGCGAGTGTTATGTTAGGTGGGGGGGCGGTAGAACAGCCCAGACTTGTCGAAGTTGAACACGTCTTCCGAGTTGTACTGGGCAATGAGTTCTTGAAGCTCGTACTGACTGACAGCAAAGCTCACACGATCAACAGAATGGCTTTCACCATGCATTGTAAAAAACTTGATGCTGTGGCGTGTCTTGAATTTGTGGAGCCACCCATTAGACAGACTAAGTTCGGCATCCGTGATGCCAAGTCCCTCTCGGATGAAGCGAGCCTCTTCGATCAATAGATCGGCCGTGAGGATAGCCTTGCCGTCATTGTTATTGTACGGCGCAAGAAAAGTCGACTCGAACACAGGAAATCAGACACTGCGATTTTTACGACCTTAGGGGCCACTGAATGCATCTTCTGGCGTATGGATGATGCGATGCGCCGTCGGGCGCGATAGATTGACCTTGAACTTGGCTCGTTCCCACTCTTGAATCCGAAACAGCTTGATGCCCGTGTTGCGCTTGACATCTACTTGCATCTGGCGTTTTTCGTCCAGAGTAAGCCATCGCTGGCCTCTGCTCATAGTTGGTTGCCTCTAAAACTCTCAAACACGGTCTGGCGAGTGTTCAGAAATCGAGGGATTCCCGTGTTTTGAGACCACAGATTTTGTTCCAGGTCCAAAATCCCACCAATGAAGGTTGCATACAAAAACCAATACAAAAAATCAGTGCAATGCGTTTGTGCTCGACATATATGATTTGAGTCACTATTGGAGGTCCACATATGGAGGTGCGATTGCACTACCTACCGTATTACACCTGTGTACTGAAAACTCGACTGAGCAGAGTATACACTGATTTAGTGACTGAGAAAAGTGGTCAACCATTGCAACTAGAGTTTCACACCAATCTCAGTTCCATACCCTGCCTGCTCTTGTGAGCGTGCTTTCACCGAGAGGTCACTTCTGTGCACTAAATCGGATGGCTCATTAAGCCTCCCCTTCGAGAAATAGCGATCTCTGCGATGATCCGAAGATTATTTCAGCAGAGACGCCGATGTTTTCTCTGACAAGAGCCATCGTAAGACAAATAAACTCCATAACAAACAACCTCACCCTCTCGCCGGTGATATACAATCTAGTTGCTGCTCGAGAAGAGCAATACATGTGCCCAGCATCCCCGCTGAAATAATTTTACGGGCTGGACCAGGTTTCAAGAATCTATTGTGCTCAACTGCAAGCGCAAGAGTCTCGCAGACTCGTGTCTGGATCATAACGCCGTGGCAACGGCTAAGATCGTTTGAAGTCACTCGACGCATTGGTGTGAAGGTCCAATACGCCTATGCGTGCCAGAGAGTTGTACACACTCAGAGCAAAATAAGTGCCAGAAAGTCGCTCCGCAAGCGGTTATTTTCACAACCTACCGATGAATACTGTCTAGGAGTATTGCCTGCGCTTACTGCAGCAGCGGTCTGGAAGGCATATACCTCTATGAAAGATGTACTTCTAAGCTGGGAAGGTGTCGATGAATATCAAACCCAGTCCGCGCACTGGTAAACAGAAGCCTGCCTTCTCATCCGTCTAAAAGCGATGGAAGCCATTTTTGCAAAGCGGACGTTAACCTTGAGCATCGTCTTATGCTTAAATTTGCAAAGTACAAAGCACGACGCGGACTTCGAGATGAATAGCCATTATCTCAAACTCCTGTCGTTTACTGTTTCTCTCGTCTTGAAAAGCTGCCGACCGTAAAGTGGAAGCGTGCTGTGACGGGTAAACTTGCCTTTTCGTCAAAGGAGAAGAAGGTCGAGGATGCGCCGACACCAGGGCATTTTTCCGAAGTGGAGTTATCCGATTTAGGTATCATTTCTACTTAACCCGGTACTAGTAACAGCCCTTATATAGCCGCCTGCCTATTTCACGTGAAATTAGGTTTCCCATTGCTTATCGAGTATTTGTCCATCCTCACGCGTCTGACTTTTGTAAGCCTCTCCGCTGTGGGGCCACATTCACTCTCTCCAATGGTCGTGGGCACGTCCAAAACTGTGATGAGTCAGGATCGATTTTTTCTTTCCAAACTTCGCCATCGCATTGTGTGGCTTAAGGCAGCGGTTTCGAACCACGTAGCTACTTTGAAGTAGAGATACCCTTAGCTACAAAAGGTTCTCACAACTGACTGGTTCAAAGGAGGAAGATCGTGATCTGGCTTCAGTAGGCCCTTGTCGAGCACATAAATATGTTAGCATTAACTTTGGTAAGTTAAAAATATGGGAGAATAAAAAAAAATGTCCCAACGTTTGCCATATATAAAAAAATATCCCAATTTTTCAAAAAAAATACCCCAGCACGTAAATTATCACCGGGGAGCCGTAATATTACACAACAGA